AGGCCTCCCCTCCCTGAGCCTCCTTGTGGCAGCCTGCCTGCTAGCCATTCTCGGGGTTCCGAGTCCTGCCTGGCTGCTCATAGAGAAGTAAATGTATAGATCAGCTCCAGGATGCCGTCCCTCCCCACAGGAGGCTGTCTAGTGATTTGGTCCGGGTGGAAGCTGCAGGTTCTCTGCTGGAGGGAAGTACCACATGGCTCCTGCCCTCAAGGACAAGGACCCAGACGTCACCAGCAGCCCTTCCCAAAGCCCCCCAACCCCCTGTCACAGCCACCCCCAACCACACTTTTGGTTCCTTACATCTGGAGCCCACCTGTCTGCGTCTGGGCCCTGTGCTCCCAGGACAAGCCCATATGTGCTGGTGGTGACCCTGGCAGCCAGAGCACAGACGAGGGCAGGAGCCACCTGGCAGCAGTGGCCCAGCAGAGACCTCTCAGCACCAAGTCAGTCAGCAGCAATGTCACCTGGTCTCCTCCTCGGTCAGCGTTGGTTTTGGTTTCCTTTCCATCTGGCCCCAGAGAGGAGGCCAGTCTGCCCATGAGGCTGCTTGCTGAGCTGGGACTGATTTGTCAGAGGGGGCCCATTCATGGGGACAGTGGCTGGGGCTCTGGTGAGGCTTGCTCGGAGTAGCCAGCTGCACGGGGTCCATGCCCTGGGCTCACTAAGCCGCGTCTTTGTGTGTCATCCCCAGGAAAACGCAGCACAGCTCCCTGGACCAGAGCTCCCCGCCCCAGAGTGGCGTGTCCGCCTCCTATAACCACCCAGTCCTGGGCATGTACGACGCCAAAGATGACTTCCCTCTCAGAAAAACAGGTCAGTGCCCCATCTGCTAGGGGAGGGTGGGCTGGGCTCCATGCCTGCATCCCTCACATCCTCAGATCCCCGTATCCCCAACCCCCACGTCCACCTGGCTCTCACAGGAAGCTCTTGCATTAGTGTCCCATGATTCATGCCACAAGCACTGAACCCCGTGCATGTGCACCTACTTCTTAAGGCTCAAGCTCAATCATAAACGTGCGGACTTACTCTTCTTTGGTGCCAGACTGTACTTGATCCTAGCCCGGTGTCCCCTGGTGGGTGCGGGGACACGGCAGCTTTCATCATTGGCCCTCAGTGTGGCTCTGGGGCAGAGCCCAGGCAGCGGGGGTGGTTGGGGCCCTGGAGTCAGGGGTAAGCTGTGTGAGAAAGAAATTCCGTGTCCTACAGGGACAATGCAGGGGGACTTCTATCACAAGCCAGAGAGGAAGGGTGCTTACCAATCAGCAGGGCACCAGGCCTCTTGGATTTTCTGCAGTGTTGATGGCTTAAGCAGGCCATGGCGTGTAAGATGAGAGTGGCCGTGACAGCGCACTGGGGCTGAGGCAGGGCAGGGCCAGAGGGCAGGAGAGCGGTCCAGAGCTCTGTCCATGGGAGGCAAGGGCCTAAGCAGCAGCGGAGCCTGGGCTGCAGAGCAGTGTGGGTAGTGGGAACACTTCCTTAATGGGAATGGTGCACTGCACAGCTGGGCCCGTGTAAACAGTGTTACCCAGAGGGTTTCAGTTGATCGGGGACAGGGATGCTGTAAAGCAGTGACCCCAGCTCTTTCACCCTAACACAGACATGGGGCCTTCCAGCAGACAGAGCTGTGCCCAGAGAGGGTCAGCACCAGGGGAGACCAGGATGCAGAGCCAGATGTCGCAGGGAGAGAGGTTGCAGCTCAGCCCAGGGAAACTTGACTGACAGTCCAAGTGTGAGAGGGAGGAGCCACAGTAGGATGGGAATGTCCCTGGTGCTGACCCCAAAGCCTTGACTAGAAGTTGGAGGGGGTGGCAGGCCCCTCGCAGCGAGAGGTGAGGTCCTGCAAGCTCGTGTCAGCCCTGCACTGCAGGAGGCGGACATGGGCTTCCCTCCTTTCCCCTTCACTGCGAGGGTGTGGTGCTCACTCATCCTCTGCCAAGAACGATCTTGTGCTTCCCCTAAAGAGAGCCCCCCTGCTGGACAGAAGTGTATGTCCGGGTCTGGGGCCCATCCTCCATTGGCCCTCCACACCCCCTCGGGAACTGTAATTAACCAAACTTGGACCCACAAAGCTAGAGCCCATGGTGAGCGGAGGGCTCAGGTCTGGGAGGGGCAGGACAAGGCCCTGCCTCCTGTGCCAAGGCGCTCGGTGCCCCGGAGCTCAGGCAGGGGTGACTGCACTGTCAGTTATGAAAGGCACCAGCAGCAGGTCGGTAATAATACGGAGACTTCAGAGGAAACGATTAAACGACGTAGGGAATGGAGTGCTGTGAGGTGTCCTGTGTCACCCTGCAGGTGTCTTCTTTCAAACACTCGACCTCACTCGTTCCAAATAATTCACACCAGCATTTCTGCCGGAGCCAGTCATGTGAAACTCATTCAATGAAATGCTAGCTATAGGTGCCTGGACGAGTTACAGTGATCACCTCTGAGAGTGTGATATGCACTGAAACAGTCCCAGGACTTTACCTGTAATTTCTCTGCCCTGCACAGTTTGCAGTTCCACGTGGGTGAGCGTGTGGCATACGCCGTTGCTCACTGCTCTCACACCTCCTGCTTGCTGCCTGTGCTCTGGTGGCCTCTGTGGGTGACCCTCCCACCTGTCCTGTCTCCCGAGGAAAGCTCATCCACCTGTCAAGCATGTACGTCCTTGAGGGAGTTGGAGTGCCCTGCCCACACCCACGCTGGGTTGTTCCAGCTTCTCCATCAGCTGCTTTGTGGCCAGGAGCTCTAGGCCTCCTGTGCCTCCCTCAGCCACCGGGGACATGGACCTGCTTGCGTCTTCCTCAGCTGTTAGGACGCCCTTGATCCTGTCCCCAACCAGTGACTAATTCCGGCCAGACTTCGCACCCTCAGCCCTTCTCTTGATGCCACAAGTCAGCCAGAAACTGGGGGAACCGCTAGATACCCCTCGGGAGGCCCTCACAGAAGGAAACACCAGCGTTTACAGCCAGAAGTCTGGCCCACAAGGTGGGCCTTGCCCTGTGGTGGGGGGGGGCTGGGGGTCAGGGTTCATCTTCTAGTCTCACTCCTTTCCAGGTCATTGACAGCAGGGTGTCCTCCACCTCCCGCCAGAATGCAGAGGGGTCATTTTCTAGGCAAGGGTACAGAGCCCCAAGGCGGTACCCACCCCCAGCGGGTCTTCTGGGTGGTGCCTCAGCTGCCCAGACCCTGGTTTCTGAGCCTCTTCAGCCCAGCAGTGACAAGGGTCCCGGCAATGTCAACATCCCCAGCACCTGGTCCACAGCGACCCTCCTGGGCAGTTGCATGGGGCAGCAAGTGGCTTGGCCAGGGTTTTGGCGAAGCACAGCGCTGGGTGCCACGTTCTCACTGAGGAAAGCGGGCTCTCTCTTCAAAGCACCTTGGGCTTCGCCTCAGGGATGTGGTTTTCTAGGAGGGTCTCGGTCATTCTGCTTCTGAAGGTGTCAGCTGCCTGGGATTTCTTTATAAAAACTCTTAAATGTGACTCCCCATGAATGAAACAAGACCAGACCCATGAAACAGTCTCGTCATCCCACCCAACCCTTTCCCACGTCTTCAGCGACTCCGGGGCCTCAGTGTGGAACACTGTGCGCAGCATGGAGCCCGCTCATCAGGACCCTGCCGGCTCGGCCCAGTCACTCTCCTAGCAGGACACCGGCTGGCTGGGCATGGGCTGTCCTCCCGGTTGTACGATGCAGACCCCAGGCTGACGCTCAGTGTGAGGTCGCTCTCCTTGGCCTTGCTAAGAATCCTGACAGGGAGGGAGGCTGGGCAAGGGGAGGACCCCACGCTCCCTGTGGTCCCTGTACCAGAATGGGCCTGGCACGAGGCCCCAGACTCGGCTTCCAGCCTGGATTCACTTCTGCAGCCCGGCTCCTGCTCCTCCTAGAACGTTCATCCAGCTCCGCATCCCCCCCACAGGTGGTCCACATGCGCAGTGCTCCTGGGAAGGGTCCGCTGACTGCTGCATTGGGAGCTGGTGGGTTTCCCTCTGTTGCAGAGTGAGGTTGCCCTGCTGGGCCAGGAGGAGCTCCCCGGTCAGCCAGGCCTCGCAGTCCAGGCATCCCAGGCAGATGACCCCACCAAGTGTGTTTGCCCATCTTTAAAATGGGGCAGTTAGTGCTCATAGAAAATGGGCACAAGTGTGTCTAGGAGGTTTTAAAGAAGGCTGGTTGTGCTTTCCAAAGAAGCTCCTAGAGAGACAGCAAGGGTGTTCAGTCCTGGGCAGCAGGTACACTGGGACGTGGCCACACTTTGTTTTGTGTCCCGTCTTCAAACCCACACCTGCCAGACATGAACCCTTCCCATGCAGAAAGTACCCTCCGAGGTTTTGCACTGATCTTCCTGGTCCCGGGTTTCTCTGGGCAGCGGGAAGGCTGCCCGGAGCCGGGCTGAGTAGGGCAGAGGGTTAGAAAGCCCCCTGCTTTGACGCATCATGTAGAGTGCGTTTCTCTTTTTGAAAACCACGTGGTGAAGCATGCTTGCACTAAATTAACACAGCAAAGTGCACACACTGAGTCTTACTTCCCAGAGCAATTACTGCCAGCAGTCTGGTGTCTGCAGACACTTCCTGAGCCTGTGCCGGAGGGTGTCTCTGTGTGGTGTGTGTATAGCTGTCTTTTTGTTAACAAAATACCTGCTTGCATTTTGCCCTGTAGTTTTATTTTTCAGTTGATGTTACACTGTAGGCACCATTCCACGTGAGTGTATGATCAGTAGCTTTTTCTATATTGCTCCAGTATGTGGACATGATGTAAAGTGTAATTTTTCCAGTGTTTATCTTGCTAACAAATATGGGTGCCTTTGCTCCTGTGAGCTAGTATTTCTGTAGACAGTTTCCTAAAAATGGAGCTGTCAGTTCAAAGGGTGTGTGTGTTCTCCAGTGCCGGTGAGTCACACTCGCCCCATCACTGACAGCTGCCCCTATCACCAATGGTGATTACGTCCCACTCCCCAGAGACCACGAAGGGGGCCAGTGGGGCCTCGGCTGCAGCCCCCGCTCTTCCCAACACAGCCATGACCAGCAGGAGGAGCACCAGCCTGACACTGGCCCAGGTGCCCGCCACTCAGCCCTCCCCATTCCTGCACCAGGAGGTTCCTTAGGGCTCTGGTTCCTGAGGAGCCCCAGAGGGACCGCCAGGCACTGGCCTCAGACGGTTTAATGCTCTGCTGCTGTTGTCTGGAATGAGAGTCTCTGTGTTGAATTCAGGCTTTGTTTCCATTTTGCAGGGGTCTGCAGGTGAGGTGGGGCCCACTGGGTGGGGCTGGTGCAGGAAGCAGGGTGAGTCCTGCACTGAGTGCCCCTTTGTAGGGGAGCACCGCCGTGGCCACCTGGAACCAGGCAGGCTGGACAGAGCCTTCAGGTCCTGTAGTCTCACAGTCAGGTGTTGCGGGATGGGAGAGAGAGCAGGAGGAAGAGAAATGACCCAAGTAACTTCAGTAGTGTCGCACTGCTGTGGGGAGGGAGGCTGGGAGTCGTTGCTGAGAGAGGACCCTCCCCTCGGTCAGGGCTGACACTCCCTTCTAAGGGCAGTGCCCTGCCCTAGCCTCTCGGAAGCAGCAACTCCCCAGTGACTGTCCCAGACACGTGGCAGGTGAGCAGGAAAGTGTGAGGTCATAATGGTGTCCATGGGCCAAAGCCCCAAGAAGCCACTTGTCAGTGTTCTGCCTGTTGGTGGTGAGGTACAGTGACAGCTTTATTGTTGAGGACGCCGCTGACCCAGCTTTATGACCCTGTGTGAAGACATGTAGCCAAAGGCAGCAGGTATTTCCCTATTTGAACAGACTGAAAAGACTCTGCCCACAGGGCTCAGGATGGCGCCCTCGCCCAGCCCTGGAAGGGCACATCACTGTTGGGCAGACATTTACCCCGTGTGGGTTTTTAAAGCACCATAGACAACCCGGCCCCACGTTGTGCCTGCCCAGCTGTAATGGCATCTCCTTCTCACGCAGCTTCGGAACCCAATCTGAAGTTACGGTCCCGGCTAAAGCAGAAAGTGGCCGAGAGACGGAGCAGCCCCCTGCTGCGCAGGAAAGACGGGCCCGTGGTCACTGCTCTAAAAAAGCGTCCCTTGGATGTCACAGGTATGTTAGAGGAGAGTTTAAACCCCACTGTCTGCCCCCCACCCGCCACCGCCCTCTCCACAAGGCTCTTTCTTGAGCACTTCTGAAGCTGCGGCCCACCCTGCATGCCCCTCAGCCACGTGCTCCTGTTGCCACAGTGCCAGCCGTGCGCCCCTGGGAACCCTCCCCCAGCCCGTCCCCGCTGCAGGTCATTCACCAGCGTGGGGAACACAGTGAGGCTGACGGGCGGGAGAGGTCTGCAGGAATTCAGGCTCAGGCTGCTCTGAAGGCGGGGTTTTAACCGATCCTGTAACATGAGGAGTCACACGTGTCTGACCTGCTCCAGAGTCCAAACCACTAGGGCGGGGGTGGGGAAACTTTTTCCTGCCAAGGGCCACTTGGATATTTATAACGTCATCCTTGGCCATATGAAATGATTAACTTAAAAATTAGCCTGTGTTTGGTCAAACATTTAATTAACTCACCTCTAATGGGATGGCTGGAGCTGCTTCTCTTTTGTGAGGCCTTGGCAGGGCCAGAAAAAATGATTTTGCAGGCCCTGTACGGCCCTCGGCCAGAGGTCCCCACCCTGCACAGGGCATCCCAGGGGTTGGCGGGGAAGACCCGGAGTTAGGGTCCCTCTCTCCCTTGCGCACTGCTCTTGGCCCCCACCTAGTGGTGGACTTGCAGAATACCCACAGGACACCCACTGGGCAGAGCCCCTTCCCAAGGGCGCACCCCTCACAGGGATGTATCTCCATCCCCACGTGCACCGCAGTCCTCAGGAGCACCCCCTCTCCAGGGTGCATCCCCTATCCAAGATGCACCCCACCTCGAGGTGCACCCCTGCCCCAAGGCACCCTGTATCCTGAGGGCACCCCCTGCTTCCTGGGGGTGCACTATTGTTCCTGAGAGCGCAGGACAGAGGGGTTGCTCAGAGGCTGCCTGGGAACTGGGTGGGGGGAACGTTTTTGAACCAAGTACAGTGTTTGGTTTGAAAGCCAAGGCTCTCAGGAGGAGGGGGGCCCTGGCACTGGTCCTCCCTGTGTGAACAGACACCTCACACCCTGCGTCCCAGCACCTTGGGGTGAGATGAGTGCTGGCCCCCTGCCCCACCGTGCTTGAGGTTCCCAGCCCAAGGCCTACCTCTGCATGTTTGTGGGTTTAATGTAAAGGGGCCTGGGGCCCGCTTTTGTCCTGTCTCCCTTTTTCTGCACAGGGCCCATCCTCTGGTTGACCCGGGCCTTGTCTAAAGAGAAATGCTGTCAGAAGTGCCTCCAGGTCTCACCAGCTGGGGCTCCCGTGCAAATTAGGGAATGCTATGCTTTGCATTTATTTCTAGCCATGCTGTTGGGGAGACGAGCTTGTCCCCATGGTGCTTTGTGAGCATGAGAGCGGGTGTCATGTCAGTCATGATGGCTGACACTACTGTGAGTCAGGACCTGCTGGGCAAAAACATGACGCAGGTCCTCGCTGCCCAGGAGCTTCCTGTCTAACTCAAGAGACCGGACCGTCACCCATGAGATGAGTAGCAAAGTAGAACCCAGGTGGCTGGAGGGGAGCATGCGCTGAGCAAAGCTGATTCCCAGTAGACAGGGCCGGTGGTGGCCGGTCAGAGGTTGGGGCAGAGGAAGCCAATCCCCTGGGACTGAGAAGGCCACCTGGGCAGATGACCTTCCTGTCCTCAGACACAGCGGCAGCGAGCGGAGCCCTGCTGTCCCCATGAGCAAGGTGCAGCCTGCACCCTCAGCTACTCGGACAGGCTCTGTGTGTTCCCACATGACCCAGATCTCTCGCAGAAGCCACGAGCTCTGCTCTCCCTGACGCCTGTGTTATGCAGGAAGGATGAGGGGACGTGGTTCCAAGTGGATAGTATGGTGGGTGGCTTTCCTAGTGACCACAAGTGACCTTTCCCTGCTCTCAGTTGTTGGGCTTGTGTGTTTCCTGCCTTTTGTTTAGAATACTAGTGGCCAAGGCTTGTCTTTCTGGTGTTTAAGATCGTCTTGAAATTTAAAAGAGGAATAAAACTGATCATGTGCTCAGCTCGTGTCTCAGGTGCCACATCCTCGGCCGAGAGCCTGGCAGACCTGAAAGCGGGCGTGGGCTGCACAGTGCCGCTGGGGGGCCTGGTCATGTTCTCTCCTGCTGGGGGTTTTGTCCGTCCACAAGCTGGTGAGCAGCAGCCCAGGCCTGGTCTGTAGGCGCGTGCCATGTCCTTTCCTGAGGCCTGCGCCCAGTCGGCTGACATCTGTCTCCGCCCGCAGACTCTGCGTGCAGCAGCGCCCCCGGCTCCGCACCCAGCTCGCCCAACAACAGCTCCGGGAGCGTCGGTACAGAGAATGGGATCCCACCCGCCGTCCCCAGCGTCTCAGCCGAGGTCAGTGCCCGCTTTCTGTTTTTCCTGCGGCCCAAAGGCGATTCAAAAAGTTGGTTTGCTCGAGGTGACTGCAGCTCTTGTGTGGACGTCACTGTCCACCTGCCACCAGTTGCTCCACTTTTGCATGTGGACACAGGTGCTCCTGGTATGAGGTGGTGGTCAGAGAGCAGCTCTGCACTGCTCTTTTCTCCTGGGCTCTTCAGAGCACGTTAGGTCCACTCTCCCCAGGAGCCGTGTGCCAATGGTGCCTGCTCCCTCCCGGCGCAGGGCTCTGCATGGTGGCTGGCTGCCGGAGCATGTAGGAACCCTTGCTGGGTAAATATTAAAATGTTTGTTGTGTGTTAAAAGATACACAGCTTAAAACGTAAGTCAACAAGGCATGTGTCTCTGTGTCAGGGAACACAAGCCGCACAGGCAGGCAGGTAGGGTGTCAGCTGGCATCACAGGTTGGGTAGAGAGAGAGTTCTGGGGTCACTTGGAGGGACCCTCAGATCCAGGGGTTGGTGGAGAGGAGAGGAGGGTCTCCTGGGAGAGGTGGATGGCTGCTTCAGCCAGGTGGAGGCCCTAGGGCCGGCTGCAGGTTGTGCCTTGCCCTTGAACAGACCTGAGTCGTATGACTTTCCAGGCAGTCAGTTCCGGGACCATCGCTCCTGCCTTCACTTCCCTCAATTTATCCCCCAGTGTCTCTGGAGCACCTGCCTCACCCCAGCCTCGGGCACCAGACCGGGGCCAGGGGCCATCAAGGGCCTGCTCCCACCTGGCTCCCTGTGCCGGCCGGGAGAGGGAGTCATTGGACCGGCCCTGGGGAAGGCAGGAACTTCACACTTGCTGAGCGGGGCCGCGGGCTGGGGCCCTGTGTTGGTGCTGCCTCAGCGTGGCTTGCCCGGCAAACTGAGCCAGAGCTACTGTCTGCTTCACCCTGGCAGCTCTACGAGTGGGAGGCTCTTCTGCGTTCTGTCCGAGTTCTGAATGACAGGAGGGGACAGCCTTTGAGACCCAGCCTCCTGCTTCCTCCTTGACTAGTCAGGCGTGAGCCCAGCCTCCAGAGGCTGACAGGTTCTGGGCACTTTGTGGGTGAGCAGGGTTTTGGAAACTGAGATTACTGCTTAGTTGGCTTAATCCCCACTTTCTCTTCACTCTTTGTCCTTTGGTTGTCGCTTTCTTTTATGGCTTTTCCCTTTCAGCCCACCTGTTTAAGTGCTTACTTGGATTATTGAAGTTCTAACAGCCCTCCTGGTAGACTGCGGTCATAGCTCAGGTTGGCCTGAATTGCGTAGAGCTCAGCCTAGAAATTACTTCTGGAACAAGATGTCCGGATCGTCACTGTGGGGACAGCGGTCCTGGGTCCGATGGCTAGTGAGGGTGGGCAGCTGTGCACCCGGTGCGTCCTGTTGTAGGGATGCCTTATTCGGGTGGGTCTACATGGCTCTGGTTAAAGCGTGTGTTAGTTTCTCCAAGTCACATGTTAGTGCAAATTCGGCTGCTGCAAGTTAACAGAAGCTGTAAGAGGGTTCTAGGAAATGTGAGGGTACAAGCGTGGTCGGCCTCAGATGCTCGTTACCATCAGCGGGGCAGTCTTGGAAAGTGTGGTGGTGTGCAGTGTCCAGAGGCGGTGTGGGCTCCTCGCGAGGGAGGGAGGCAGGGTTCCCTGAACAGAATGGGGCTCGGCCTCACCACACCCTGTCCCCTTCACACGGGGACACGGCTCCCCATGCCACAGACAGTGCTCCACCCAGTTCAGAAGGCCGGTGTGATGGGGGCGTGCCTGTGGTTGTGGGGGGTCTGTGGTTGGGAGGGCCTGCCTGTGACTGGGGTGGGGCCACAGGCACTTTGACCCAGGCCCTGGACTTCATGCAGAACTGGGAAGCTGATGGAGACACTGACGCTGAAAAATGGGGCCAATCAGCCTACCAAATAATTCTCAGAGGCAGCTTTATTCCTAAAAATAACTTGGGTAAGAAATAGCCATGGTTGTAAAGAGGAAGCTATGGCCTTGGGAGCACTAGACCCTCTGCTTCCTTCCTTCCTGGAGAGTCTCCGTTTGCTGGAGCCATGGTTTCCTTGGCAATCGCAGGCATGTTCCCTAAAGCACGGTTCGTTAGTGTTTCCTGTACTTTGGACATTGTTTTGTGTGGGAAGAGCCCGTCACCATCACTGTACCGTAACGACGGGACCGCAGGTGGCTGCAGCCAGCCTCCGACGAGGTGTGCGTTCCCATCCTGTTACCTGTTCCGCCTTTAGCACAGAACCAAGTATTAGAGTGTGTGTTTCCCAGTGACGCTGAGCCACCATCAGCGTAGCTACCTGGGGAGTCTGCAAGGCAGCAGCGTCCGCACAGGCCCTGAGAGCGGGCGCGGGGCCCGCAGGACGCCGGGCGCAGACGTGGCCGCTGCCCAGATGCTGCGTTTCCCTGGGAGGGGAGCGGCTCTCACCCTCGGTTGTGCGGTCCACGGCGAGAAGGGCGGAGGGAGCCGGGTGCTCCTCCCTCGTGTTCCTTTCCATCGCGATCGTGCAGACTTCCGTCCCCTCCCCCACCTCGTGGCAAGTCCCCTGTTTGTCGTTAGCTTGTTGGCTCAGCGCTTGTTTGCTGTGTCTATGCAGGCATGTGCTGGTGAACAAAACAGTCTTTTATCAAAGAAGGGTTGTTCTAGAAGCAAAATGGTGTTAAATATCCGTCCTTCACGCCCTCGGAGACAGCCGGCCGCTCACCCTCTCCTGTCTGCCCGTCTGGGCCTCAGTCTTGCTCTGTACTTACGTAGTCTAAGACTGTTTTTTAAAAAAATGCAGGATCCTGTAACTTGTCTCTAACTTAACAACACACCGCAAACAAGACTCCAGGTAACCACGAGCCTTTCCGACCGGGTGCTTTTCTACTGCAGTTGTCACCGTTTTCTGCCTCTTACGTGAGGCTGTGTTCATCTCTATTTCCCTATTTGGTTTCTGGTTCTGATACGATATGTGGAAAGACATTCCCAACTCTAAGAATATATTTTAAAGCACATTATCTTAGGTGTTCTGGTAGTTTTGCCACGAATAAGCAGTGTGACTAAAAAGGAGAGTTTGGTGAGCCTTGAATCTGTTGCATGCTCACCGCCTGCTCTAAAACACTACGCTTGCCTCCGTGTTGTAACCTGTTGAAGCATCTTTCCACTGCGGTGTCTCCGCATTAGACCTGGTCTGCCCACACTTGGCCAGAGCAGCCTGTGACGGTCGTCCTGTGTTCTGTCCCCAGACCAGCTTGGCGCACAGACTGGTGACTCGAGAAGGCTCCGTGGCGCCACTCCCTCTCTACACATCACCATCCTTGCCCAACATCACACTGGGACTTCCTGCCACTGGCCCTTCCTCAGTAAGTAGGCCCCAAGGGTCCATGTGGCGCTTGGCTGTTCTCACAGGCATATAGCCTGACGTCACTGGCTGTGCCTCTCCAGGGGGCGGCAGGCCAGCAAGAAGCCGAGAGACTGGCTCTCCCAGCTCTGCAGCAGCGGCTCTCCCTCTTTCCCGGCACCCACCTCACGCCCTACCTGAGCTCGGCGCCCCTGGAGCGGGACGGCGGGGCGGCTCACAACCCTCTCCTGCAGCACATGGTCTTACTGGAGCAGCCGCCCGCACAGACGCCCCTCGTCACAGGTGAGTGCTCTGCGCAGTGTCGGACCCACACGGAGGGCCTGTTCCACCCTGTGTCTCCCTCGCAGAGCTGGGTGGGCGACTGGTCAGTTACAGGCCCTGCCCTCCCAGGAGGCTGAGGCTCCCTCTGGGTCCAGTGCAGCAGGTGGCAGAGGGCAGACCTGACGGGAGGACAGTCGGTTTCTGTCAGCAGTAAATTCTATAAAAACAGCTCCACCTGAAGGGTGGCTGCTAGAACATGGGAAGTCCGTGGTGGAGTCTGCGTGGCAGGACGGTGCAGTGTCTGAGAGGACGCCGACGTGCGTGGCTACGGTCACCCGTCTGCACCGCCACCGTCTGTAGCTGGAATCTCTATTCAGGAGTAAAATCCACAGCAGCGTCAGAGCTGCACCTCCACACCCCTGACCCAACCGCGACCTCATGGGAGACACAGGGAGGCGGGCAACAGGGCCGGAACCTGACGCGTGCAGGTCTGGACGGGGTTGGTTTGGTTTTCCTGTTTTTGCTTCTTTGTCCCTTGAGCACTTGGTTCCGTAGAATCGCTGGCTGGCCTGGGCGCGGGCATGTCCTGCCAGGCCCCTGGGCCCCTGTGGGAAGATGCCTCCTGACTGCTTTTCCGCCTCCCCATCCTGTCCTCTAGCTGCCACCAGGGTCCCCTCAGGGCTGGGAAGTGCCCCTATTGTCCAGCACCGTGCCGTCCATTGCGGGAGCACCGGCCGCAGGTGGCCATAAACGTTGAAATTGAAAGTTAAAAACACTGAGTCACACTGAAGCATAGCGTGTTTCTGTGGCTGCTGGTGTGGCGCAGTGCGGCCTGGGCCGTTCCCGTGGCTCAGAAAGCTCAGGGAGGCGGCTGCAGTGAGGCCGCAGTGCTCAGCTGGACACAGCCTGCGCCGGGCCTCCTGGTTGGTCTCCCCGAGCAGCTCGCCAGGCGTCCCATGTGCTCACTCGTTGGCATGAAGGGTAGTTCTGGAAGCCCTGCCCTTTTCCCCGAGGCCAGTCCCGTGCCCGTCCCACATCCCTGCCCTGCTCCCGCATGTTCTGCCACCGGCTGCAGCTCGTTCTGTCAGCAACTGTGACATTGCATCTGTCCTGCCTGACCTGCTCCCTCNAGGGCAGACCTGACGGGAGGACAGTCGGTTTCTGTCAGCAGTAAATTCTATAAAAACAGCTCCACCTGAAGGGTGGCTGCTAGAACATGGGAAGTCCGTGGTGGAGTCTGCGTGGCAGGACGGTGCAGTGTCTGAGAGGACGCCGACGTGCGTGGCTACGGTCACCCGTCTGCACCGCCACCGTCTGTAGCTGGAATCTCTATTCAGGAGTAAAATCCACAGCAGCGTCAGAGCTGCACCTCCACACCCCTGACCCAACCGCGACCTCATGGGAGACACAGGGAGGCGGGCAACAGGGCCGGAACCTGACGCGTGCAGGTCTGGACGGGGTTGGTTTGGTTTTCCTGTTTTTGCTTCTTTGTCCCTTGAGCACTTGGTTCCGTAGAATCGCTGGCTGGCCTGGGCGCGGGCATGTCCTGCCAGGCCCCTGGGCCCCTGTGGGAAGATGCCTCCTGACTGCTTTTCCGCCTCCCCATCCTGTCCTCTAGCTGCCACCAGGGTCCCCTCAGGGCTGGGAAGTGCCCCTATTGTCCAGCACCGTGCCGTCCATTGCGGGAGCACCGGCCGCAGGTGGCCATAAACGTTGAAATTGAAAGTTAAAAACACTGAGTCACACTGAAGCATAGCGTGTTTCTGTGGCTGCTGGTGTGGCGCAGTGCGGCCTGGGCCGTTCCCGTGGCTCAGAAAGCTCAGGGAGGCGGCTGCAGTGAGGCCGCAGTGCTCAGCTGGACACAGCCTGCGCCGGGCCTCCTGGTTGGTCTCCCCGAGCAGCTCGCCAGGCGTCCCATGTGCTCACTCGTTGGCATGAAGGGTAGTTCTGGAAGCCCTGCCCTTTTCCCCGAGGCCAGTCCCGTGCCCGTCCCACATCCCTGCCCTGCTCCCGCATGTTCTGCCACCGGCTGCAGCTCGTTCTGTCAGCAACTGTGACATTGCATCTGTCCTGCCTGACCTGCTCCCTCCTGGAGCCCAGACCCTGTGTTTTCCTATGGCTCTGCCCCCTCGCCCCCCTGCACCCATACAGTCTGCAATACGTAGGTAGTGAGTGGGGCACAGTGTTTACGCCGGGGTTGAGCACAGTGAGAGCCACGGTTACTGAGGGGCTGTGTCTGCACAGAACCCAGGAGGAGTCACTGCAGGCTCCCTGTGTATCTGAGTCTCCCCAAGGAGTCCACCCACAGACCTACCTTCTTGCTGATGATGTCAATGGACAGACAGATGAGCTCTGTCCACAAGTGCTCCGAGAACAGGCCCCTGTGGGAGGAGCGGCTGGCCAGGTCAGAGGGCAAGCAAGGCCCAGGGTCTGAGCACTCTGTCCCCTCCCCCGGCCGTGGTGCCCGGCGTCTGGATGGCTCCTATCATTCCTCCTAGAAAGAGCAGAGTCCCGTGTTCCCAAGGCTGAGTGAGCAGCCAGCCAGGGCAGCGCACAGAGATCAGGGCCTTTTCCAGGCGAGAAGGAAACTGTTATGCAGAGCCCTGGCTCATCTCTGCGGCTCCACACGAGCTGCGGGCACTGCCTGGCCCAGCCTTGCTGCCCCGCCGAGTGCATGTTCCTGTGGCTGGCGAGCGGAACTCTCAGACCAGCATGTCCCACGGGCCCGGCCCCAGGAGACGGCCCCAGAGCGTGGTAGTTGGGCATGTGCAGGCGGCTAGGCGCTGGGGCAGGTGAGATACAGGGAAGGCTTCGTGGAGAAGCAGCACTGCTACAGACTGAGGTGGGCCCTGCAGGTGACTGGGTGGAGAGAAGGCCAAGGAGAAGGGCAGGTGCGGGTTCCGGTGGGTCGTTCTAGCCTTCTGGGCACTCACAGGGCAGCCAGGAGCCATTTCTCCCTGTTGGACGCCCTTGACCCGGGGTCATTTTCAGCCTGAGCGATGTTTAGTGTTTGTTTGTCTCAGGTTACGAGGGGAACATACCCAGGTAGCAGGGGAAGGGGTTTGTTAGACCCTTTTGCCCATAGAACCTCGGAAAATGACCAATGACCTAAACAACAATTTCCAAAAAAAGCCAGATGGATGAAAAGCCCACGGAAGGGCGGGCGGTAGCCTCCTGGTTCACAGGAGAGGCTGGGGTTTAAACCAAGAGAGACACGGACAAAGCCGTCGTCTCCTGTCAGCTGGACGCGGTCTGAATGCCCAGCCCGGGTGCGGGACCCTCTCGGGGGCCAGTGGACTGGACGTTGGCAAAGCCTCTGTAGTGATTTATGGAGAGAGGTTCTGACTGTGTCCGTCAGGCTTTGAAGTGCTCATGCCCTGTTTGTGCACGAAAGGGGTGCTCTGAGAGACCCTTAAAGAACTGGACCCCTGGGGACAGTTGCTCCTCACACTGGCTCTGTGACAGGGAACAGCTACCGTGGCCTTCCTCCGCTTGGCATGTGCCACTCTAGCCGCCCTCGGTGCTGCTCAAATCAAAACCCTTGAAGGGCCTGGGCCCGTCGGGCGATCGTGCCAGGGCCATCGGGCGGGGCGAGCTGCTCTGAGGCTGTCACACAGGATGCCCGCTGGTGGCATTGGCCTGGCTGTTAGAGACAGCAGCCTCCGAGGGACAGCTCAGGTCTCGCTGTGCCGGGAGCCACCCGGTGGGCTCGGAGCAGGGGCCCGGGCCGGCGCCCTCCTGGTGCCTCCGGCAGTCACTCACAGCCCCCCTTCCCCCCCCGCTGCCTTCCTCCGTGTTAGCTTCAGACTGGTATCTTTCAGGCCTGGGCGCACTGCCCCTGCACGCACAGTCTCTGGTCGGCGGGGACCGGGTGTCCCCCTCTGTCCACAAGCTGCGGCAGCACCGCCCGCTGGGGCGCACGCAGTCGGCCCCGCTGCCCCAGAACGCCCAGGCCTTGCAGCACCTGGTCATCCAGCAGCAGCACCAGCAGTTCCTGGAGAAACACAAGCAGCAGTTCCAGCAGCAGCAGCTGCACCTGAACAAGGTGGGTGTGTGCCGCGTGCGCTCCGCAGCCCCGGCGCGAGCCCTCCCTCACCTTCGCCCCGGCGGCTGCCCCTTTCTCACCTCCAGAGGCCGGGCGCGCGGGACAAGCAGTGGGTCTTGGGCTCCCTCGCGCAGCGGGGACGGGCTCTTGCAGCTGGAACGTGGAGCGGTCCCCCCCGGGGGGGTGGCTGGCGCGGGCGGGGCTGCCCCGCGTCCTGGTCAGCATGGTGCGTGTGGTGAAGTCCACATGGCCAGCACTTTTTTCTTTAAACCCTTGCTGACCAGTCAAGAGTATACACGTGTTTTTGGGTCTGAACGTTGCTGACCAGTCATGAAATAACTCGTGTCTGCACTTACATTAATTTAAGTACTTTTAAGGTCTGAAAGCAATGTCGGGTTTTAAAGAAGGGGAAAAGCAGCCCGCCACACGGGCAAGTTCTAGCTCTAAACAGGCAGTCAGCAAGGTGTTGACGCATGTGTATCTTCTTTAAGGAAACTCAAAACAGAAAGTCCCCAGCCTCCCGATGGCCTGAAGTCCCCAGAAGCACATGTCTGGTGACTTGGTCCTTGCTGTGTGCTTGCCCATTGGAATAGCGTCGCCAACAGGGCCGCGCCCAGGCCAGCCCACAGAGGTCCACGCACCTGCAGTCTCTGTGGCTGCTCCCTCGGGAAGTGGGAGGAGAGGTGGTGTTGCTCTGCTTAAGAGTGAAATAGGAAAAGCGATTTCATGCAATTTTTCAAGTGTTGACTTTTGAGAGAAAGCGTCCTCAGTGCTGGAGAGTGAGGCCAGCCTGTGGGAGACGGTCAGTGTTTCCTCAAGTTAATGCAGAGTGGCCAGGGGACCAAGCTGCCCCCGCTCGGCCTGTGCCCAAGAGAAGGACTCACACACCAGCAGTGGGCAGCATAGGGTGGTCACACAGAGCAGGCACCGCCAGGCTGAGGAGGGTCACTCAGCCCTGAAGAGGAGTGAAGTAGACACGTGCTACAGCGAGGACGGCCCTAGAAACACAGCGCCAAGTGGGGAGCAGACAGGAGGCCCACGCGTGTGAGGTTCCCTGTGTGTGTGATGTCCAGGCAGGCGGGTGGGTGGGCACCGGGGCCGGGGAGGCAGGGGCGTGGCTGCCAGTGGGAACAGCGCTGCCCTCTGAGATGGCGGCACTCTCAAGGTGGCTGCGCCGCTCTGTTCACATGAAGGACTATGACTCGGAGTGTGACTGAGCTCCGGTGCGGGCGTTACGTTTCAGCAGAGCTGCTGAGAAAGAAGAGGGTGAGGCGAGAGGAGGCAGCTTTGGTGACTGCGGGAGGGAACTCTGGGCACTTGGGCAGGTTTGGGATGAGCAGGCTTGTTCCTCGGTGTGTCTCTTTCCCGGGGAAGCTCACGGCTGCACCCCCTCTTCCAGGCGGACCCCAGTCGTCAATCCTCCACCTGTCACACGCGGTTAGGCTCTTGTCTCTGCCTCCCTGCGGAATGAAAGGGGGGAGGGGGTTGGGGATGAGACCTGAACAGGTCCACACAAGTGTGAAGATGGAGCGAGAGGAGGGAAACCCACCCCCCGGGGCTGAGGTGCAGAGTGCAGCCAGCCCTGCTCCGCGGCCACCAGCCCCCGTCTCGGCCTAGTCGGGTGTCGGGCCAGGAGAATGGTCTTTGAAGAAAGACCATCTTCCCACCCACGCTCCCTGGTCTCAGCTCCTCTGAGTCGGCCTGAATGTCACTTGTGATGGGTCCCCCATCCCAGCTAGAACTGCCGCCCAGCCCCTCCTGTCTGCATGACTGCACCCGTTCCTCATGCCTCGTGTTCTGCTCTGTGGTTCCCGCCCTGTGGGGTCATCCTCAGATCACCCCCAGGTGGCCACAGCCTCCTACTTCCCCCACACCTGCTCCCACCTGGTGCAGACACCTCCACGGCTGTCTCCATGGAGCTTGTGGAAGGGCGTCTCTGAGCAGGGCCTCTCTGCCTCCTCGTCATGTCCCAGAGCTGACTCTGAGCCTGCATCCTTTTGGGCAGCAGCCGTCCCCTGTCCCCACGCGCACCAGGAGCCAGCCTTGCGGCCCCCACTCCTCTGTATGGGCCGGCCTGGCTGAGGCCCACAGTGCCACTCCCAGTGCCCCATTTGCAGCCTGACCTGTTAGGACCTGTCTGTGGCACAGGCAGGGGCGTGACCCCCTTCGAGAAAACACAGCGCCTCATGCCTGTCGCCTGGAAGGCAAAGTTCATGGCATGGGAGGCGCCCACACCTGGGCCTCGTGACCCCGGCCCTGTGTCAGGGCACCGACATCCAGACGTCTCCGGCCTGGGGGACAGCAGGGGGCCAGGCTGGGGTTCTGGGGCCTGTCAGCTGGGAAGAAGCTGAGCAGGAGGAGCACACGCTGGCATCCAGCCCACTCCTCTTTCAGGTCAGGGCCTCGGTCGCACTAGGAAGGACAGAAAAGAGGCTTCTCGGACACGTATAACTGGGCTGAGGGTGGGGGAGGGCCGCATGTCCCTCTCAGCAGCTGTGGTGGTGGAGAGGGGCGTGGCGTTGGCCTCTCCCTAGGCGCCCAGGCACAGAGGTGGGTTGACACCTGTGACAGTCATCGCCGCTCTCTTGAACCAAGCGCCGGTCTGCCTCCTTCCCTGCCTGGGCCTTGCTGTTATTTCTCAACACTGCAGACAGCACCTGGCACCCATGTTCTGGTACTTGACCAGCCTGGTGCCTGCTGACCTTGGCTCAGGATAAGCTCACACCCCCTGGGTCCTCCACCCCTTCGTTTCTGAGGTGCAGACTTACCGATGTGCCTTTTCTCCCCAATGACCTCAGTTGCCCTGGGCCACACTTACTTCACCCTCCCCCCCCCCACACAGATTATCCCCAAACCCAGCGAGCCAGCCCGGCAGCCCGAGAGCCACCCCGAGGAGACGGAGGAGGAGCTCCGCGAGCACCAGGCCCTCCTGGAGGATCCCTACCTGGACCGGCTCTCTGGGCAGAAGGAGGCGCGTGAGCTGGCGGGAGTGCAGGTGAAGCAGGAGCCTGTGGACAGTGACGAGGAGGCGGAGCCACCGAGGGAGGTGGAACCCGGCCAGCGCCAGCCCACGGAGCAGGAGCTGCTCTTCAGACAGGTGACCCAGGGCAGGGGAAAATGGACAGGAGCTGGGCGGGGCAGGACGCAAGGGGCGCCCCGGCTTCGGACAGTGGCCCAGATTCCCAGTGGGCGGTGGAAACTGAAGGGCCTCTTCCTTCCCTTCCTGCCTGCCCAGGTCTTCTCCCGTCTTTCCTGGCGGTGTGGGAGGTGGCTGAGGTTCCGTGTCTGTTGTACCTTAGCTGTGTCTAGTCGTACTGGCCATTTGTCCACTGTGGACATCGGTGCACCTGCTTTCCAGCCAGCACTGGCCCTGACTCCCCAGGGGTGGTTTTCTTCCAGGCCTGCAGGCTATGATGAACATAATCCAAGTGTTGGCAGGATTTAGGGTAATCACTAAAGGTGGGAAGAGGGAGACGAATTTCTTAGTTGACCAAAAAGGGAGGCTGGACCTTTGGGGCCAACGAAGCAGCAGTGACCAGCCTTGCAGATCCAGAAAAGTGCTGTCACCAGTGCCCAGAGCCAGTGAGGGTTCTGGGCACCGAAACACAGTAACCAGACTCACAAGAGACTGATGAATATATCTGATGAATGACTTACTAATTTACAGTGACAAGTAAAACTGCCACGTCAACAAAATACTAGGTCAGCAGTCAGCAAGTCGGAACCTCATGTTAGAGGCCCAAGTGCTACCTCGGAGGTTGCTCCTGGTGAGCAGGGTGTGAGAGCCAAGGGCACCTGTGAGTGGAGTCAGGTCATGTCCAGCAGCAGAGCCCTGACCGGGGTGTGGGGCCCAGGCTCGTCTGCTCCCCTCTCCCTAGAGGCTGAGCTGGCCACCTAGTTGTGCACCGCTCAGCTTCGGCAGCCCAAGCGCATGGCCCGCGGCTGCTCCCCCGCCACCCCCAGCAGCACCTGAAGATTCCAGCTCTAATACACAGGACCTTAGGTTCTCTGGAGGCCTCTGGGTGGGCAGCAGGCCACACCCTTCACCCCTCTTGGTCTGGGCTTCGTTGGGGGCCCTGTGGGCTGCTGCTTGTACAGTGTTTTTTCTGTTTCTCATTCAGAGGGTCCATCTCTCATTTCTCAGGCCATGTTCTTAGCACCCAGACACTAGACCACTGCTCTGCAAAGTGCAGTGGACATGACACGTAATGAAAACAGAGGTTCCAACCACAGGAGCCCTGCCTCTCCTGCCCTGCAGCTCCCTGGCAGACCTGGCTGGCTGTCCTGGCCAACCTGGCCCCACGGGGCTTTGTTTCCTCATCAGTGTAGGTCCTGGAGTTAATGAAGGAAGCCGATCTCTCATTATTCCTGGAATTCAGTGAGTTACTAGTACGTGGATATGAGATTGGAGAGTATTATGTAAATTTTTAGGGCAAGTATCTTGTAGGTGATGAAGCTGTCGGCATTTATTTAGGACAAGTAACCTTGTCTTCCAAGCCCGAGACCCTTGTTGAAAGCAAGGGTCCTTTGGAAAACAGTTTCAGGAGCCTCATTGGGACTCAGTGGTGCAGGTAACAACTGGCAGGTGTAAACGTGAGACAGAGTGTCCGAGCTTTTGCAAACCTCATACCAGGAGGCCGGTTGGTTGTAGGTGGTCATGAAAGTGGGTGTGAGCCCCTCAGGGCCAGGGGGTGCCTCCTGCTCTGGTCTTCCCAGCACCTCGGGGCTCTTCCTCTGCCGCTCAGTCTGCTCTGCGCCTCCCCTCCCCCAGGGGCCAGGAAGGTGGACCTTCCTGAATGACAAGAGTTGTACATGGAAACTAAGGCACGACTCGCGGTGGATTTGGAGGAGTGAGGAGCTCTGCTCTCCAGCCCCTCAGCCTGTAAAGTGGGAGGTGGAGCCATTCCCTCCTTTGTTGTCCCAGGATGACCCTGGGGATCAGCAGCTCCTCAGGCAGGACTGGGCTGGCCACAGGGTTACACCTGCCCCTCGCTCCCTCTGGCTCTACTCCCTCCCACAGGATGCGCATCTCAGCCCGTCCACAGCGTCCCACCGGGGTCTCTCCCCTCAGGCCCTGGCTGAGTGGCCCCACGCTCCACAGACTCCGCACTTCTCTGCTGTGGGTCTGGGTCCAAGCCCCTCTGTCCCACCGGCCTCCACGGCCTCTCCCAGGTCGTCCTCAAGCACCTCCACTGCTCGCAGTGCAGAGGGGAGAGGTGGCGCTGGCCCTGTGGACTTCCAGGGGCCCAGAGCCATCCCACCGAGTGGGTCAGAGAGCTGCTGGCCTTTCGGCGTCAGCCCCGGCTCTGTGCTCACAGAAGCCTCTTCCCACATGGAAGCAGGACTTTTGTGAGGAGCAGCTTCTTGTGGGAGTGCGTGTTTAACTCATCCCTATCTGCTATTTGTTTCCTGAAAGACGGCTGTATTGGGGTCCTGGGATTGTCCGTGTGGGTCCCACCTCCTCGGAGGCACGTTGTTACCCTCCCAGCCCCGTCAGCTGGGTGGTTGGGCCCTGGGCCTCGGGAACCTGGTGGCACACGTCTTCTTTGCTTCAGCAGTCCCAGTCCTCAAGCAAGGATGGGGGACAGTGAGGACCAGGACAGGAAAGGTAGCAAACAAAGTAGAGTCAGCATTTCCCTCCCGTGATGGCTTCTTTGCCGGGTCTCTGGGTGCAGAGCAAGTGCCTTGATCAGAACCACAGCAGCTACACAGTCACCCAGGAGGGCTGCTGCAGGCTGCTGGGGCGTCGGGTGGCCGTCGCCAATACCCATCTGGCTGCCACTGTGCACGGAGGTGACCGGGTGGAGGGAGGGTAAGCGGAGGGGTGAGCAATACAGCAGAAAAGAACTCGAAGCCCTTCAGGGAGGTGAGGTTTCTTTAAGCAGCGAAGCCCCTGTCTCCCCCCAGCAAGCGCTCCTGCTGGAGCAACAGCGGATCCACCAGCTAAGGAACTACCAGGCCTCCATGGAGGCCGCTGGCATCCCCGTGTCCTTCGGCAGCCACCGGCCTCTGTCCCGGGCACAGTCCTCCCCTGCGTCCGCCACCTTCCCTATGTCTGTGCAGGAGCCCCCCAGCAAACCAAGGTTCACCACAGGTAATGTGAGCACGGAGGGGCGGGGGCGTGGGCCCGGGGCTGCCTGGCAGGGCAGCCTGGACTTGACAGCGTACAGCTGGGAGGTAGTCCAGTCGCAGACCTCTGGGCGGTGGTGGGCAGCCTGCTGGGGCCTGACCTGCTGCTCTGAGGGCTGTGCCTCTGTCTGCCCACAGGCCTCGTGTATGACACGCTGATGCTGAAGCACCAGTGTGCCTGCGGGAACAGCAACAGCCACCCTGAGCATGCCGGCAGGATCCAGAGCATCTGGTCCCGGCTGCAGGAGACCGGCCTCCGGGGCAAATGCGAGGTAAGGCTGGGCCCAGGAGGCGGGAGCTGGCACGCACAGCCTGCGGAACTCGGCATGGAGGGTGGGACTGGGCCAGACCCTGCGGGGCAGGGCTGTGAGCATTTCCATGACGAGGACTGGCAGCCCCGGTGCTCAGGCCTGCCTTCCGGAAGGTGCCCAGGGCTGTTGTCCTCCTAAAAGCCCAATGCTCCCTGAAGGAAGGCCTGCGTCTGTCCTGCACCGCTGCTCCCCCGGCACCCCCATCACACGCTGCTCCACTCTCATTAGCGCACTTGCTGAAGCCCACGGCTGCCGTTTTCCTTCTGCTTGTTCCCTGGGAGGTACCGTTCTGAGGCTGGGCTCCTGTCAGTGCCCAGGACACCACAGGCTGCCCTCGGGCCTCTGCGGCAGGGCAGGAGCTGGAGGCCCACGGGGAGAGACCAGCCCTGCTGCTTTCCTCCAGCGTCCTCTCACTTGCATTCCCGAAGCTTTTCCCAGTATGTGGAGAGCGGCAGGCTTGAGGTGACCCTCAGAATCCCCGCTCCCCCAGGGCAGCTGGTGGTGTGGGGGTCAGAGTCATAGTCTCGTCTGCTCTGATTGGAATTTGGTTCACGAGCACAGCACCCCCACCCCTGGGTGAACTGAGAGGGTTCTGCTGGTCCTCGGGTCTCCCCCCTGCCTGGGATAGTGAAGGCCGGGCTCCCTCTCAGACAGTGAAGCCCCACCTCCATTCATCAGGGCCTGGGACTCCAGTCTCTGCCCACGCGTGGCTGCAGGGGTCCGGCCCTTGAGGACAGGAGGGCTCTGCTGCGTAACAGGAAGGGTGTTCTCTTGTGCTGATGGGAAACGTTCCGCTCAGTGACCAGCTTGTGCTCTTTGCCCTGGAGTGCAGCTGTCGCAAAGGACTGTAGCTCTCGGGGAGGCCCTGCCGGCAGTGCGTGCGTGAGACGGGGCCCAGGCTCGGGACTCCTCGGTGTCCTGGTCTGCGGAGTGGGGCTGGCAGCACCCACCTCCCAGGGCACTCTAGGCCGATGGCCCCGGCCCCCAAGTTTACCCATTGAGTGGGACCTGCTGTGTCCCACACACATTGGGAATCCCCGCAGCACCAGGGATGATACGTGGTGGCACATGCTACTCTACAGAGCAAGCCTGGGGAAACGGGACCCTGCAGCTCATTACAAACCATCGACCTCTGCATCGGCCGGGTAGGCAAGTCCCGGAGAGCCAGCACATCCAGACCCCTCTGAGTCCCCCCGAGTCCTCCCACTTCCCCCCTCGAGGTCCCTCTTCCTCCCTCCAGTCTGCCCCCCTCCTCCGACAGCTGGAATGTTTAGGAACTCTAGCTCCCATCTTTACCAGTTTTTTGATGACGTGGTTTTTGGAGGGGAAAGGAATCCGGTCCTGGAGTGCCCTCTGGGGAGGACAGTGACCACTGTGTGGAGCTTGGCACCTGCTCCCAGTCTCCAGAGCTCACCACTGGGGGGCAGCATCGCCCCAGCAGATGTGGCTGTAACCTGTGCACTCCCACAGGGCTGCTGGGCGTCTGAAATCCCCGTGCCCGGCTTCCTGTGCCTCCCTCCCCATACCCAGGAGGGTCACTGCCCAGAGGCTCCTGCAGTAGTTTCCCTGCCAGAGAAGCCACAATAGCAAGTGGGGCAAGACGCAAAACGCAGAATAAAGCCTCGGCCCTCCACCTTCTGTGGCACCCTGGGGGGCACTGGCCTGTCCTGGGTCCCCAGACCTGCGGGACTCGAGTTCCAAGGAGAAGAGGGGCCTGTGGCTCCCGGGTCAGACCCCAGGCTTCAGGGTGGCCCGGAGGAGACTGGGCTGCGGTGTGCTGCCTCCACCCAGCGCTCAGGGACCCGGTGGGCGCTCACCATGGGCTGCGCCTCCTGGTTCAGGGTGACGTGTGGTCACTCAGCCCAAGGACTATCTTGTCCCTGTCATCTGCCCTCACACCTACTCCCAGCAGTCTCCTGGGTAGCAGAATGCATGGCCCCGCACTAGACACGGTCATAGGAGTTGACCCCCACAGGAGCAGTAAGAGGGGCTTCCCAGGGTCTCAGGTCTCCTAGCCAGGGCCCCTTGCTCCAGGCAGATGACTGTGGAGGCTCCCGTGGGTGGGATCCCCTCAAGCTGCCAAGGTGGGCTCGGCACGGTCGTAGGACGCAGGGTGGGTGGCTCTTTCCTGGGAGCTCGTTACTCTCTGCGCTGAGGCGGGGCCAGCGAAGATGCTGCCACAGCAGCTTACAGGGGAGCTGCTGCCTCACCTCCTGCTTCAGCCAGGCCTGGGGGAGCGGCCCCGGATCCCCCGGAGGTGTCGGGCGAGAGCAGCTGCTGGCCTGGCTCTGTGCTCGAGAGTGTCCCACGGTCCCAGCACCCCAGGGTTTCCCTGGGCCACCATCACCAGGCCTTTTCCTGTGTCCTCACTCTCAGAAAGCCACTGTAGTGTAAAAGGCCAACCCCGGTCCCCGCTCATAAAGCTCCCCTCCTGCTGCACGGTCCGGTCAGTGTAGCTCAGCTGGAGAGTGGTAGTGATGTTGGCTTCTGGGGACGTCCGGAAGCAGCCTGGGGTCTTGATTTGTGGAGTTTCTGAACCAAAGGAAAACACAGACGGTCAGGCGTGGAGGGAGACCCGAGGCCGATCTCAGGCCTCTCCGGCGGTGCTCGGGGTAGGGCCCAGCCTTTCTCAGGGAGACCCCAGGTGGCCCTGCCCGGACCAGTCTGCTCGGTTTGGGACCAGGCCTGGCTCGGGGGGCAGAGCCGCACTTGGATGCTGCACTGTCGGTGCCCCGGCAAAGGCTAAAGCCCTTGAGGCTGGCGTTGTCTTTTTAAACGTGTTTCGGTTGTGGTTAAAGTTTAGACCCTCTGAGACACTGAAAACAGTTTGAAATGTTACGTTGGTGACGTTTGCTCTTTACTTTGCAATAATCAAGCGACTTTTGCTGGTGCACACGCATAGCTCATCTTCCTCTGGGTGGTGGTCCCTTGAATGGAACCCCTCCAGGAGACGCGAGCGACCTCTCCCATGTCCCCACAGTGTATCCGCGGACGGAAGGCCACCCTGGAGGAGCTACAGACCGTGCATTCGGAGGCGCACACCCTGCTCTATGGCACAAACCCCCTCAACAGGCAGAAACTGGACAGTAAGAAACGCCTAGGTACTCCGAGGCCTTCCTACCTTTACTGCCCAGGCGGTTTCCAGCCCTGTGCTCCCTCACATGGCTCTGTGCCTGGCCCAGGAGGATGTCCCGCCCTCCGCCCCTGAGGCTATGGCCGAGACAGTGAGTGTGGCCACCAGGCTCTGCCCAGGTGGCCAGGCAGGGAGTCCTCTGAGGGCTGCGCCAGGTCTAAGGTGAGGTGCCAGCGGGGGAGTTCTCACCCTCAGCATCCAGTAGGGCGCCAGCGTCCTGCTTGTGTCCCTGTGTTGGGCAGGAAATGGTCTGGGAACCACTGGTTTCACAGACTCTGGGACAGCAGAGGTGAGACCCCCATGCTCCCAGCCTACTGCCTGCCCTCACCTGCAGGGAGCCTGGAGTCTGAGCTCCACCTTTGGCTCCTGGGAGCAGAGCATGTCCAGGAGCAAGCCGGCATTATGGGGCCAACTAATCTGAGGCCGGACAGGGTTTAGAAGAAAGGAGCCCTCAGGCATAGGGATAGTGGACACCGGGAGAGTGTAAATAGCCTCAGCAGGAGGAACTGACCAAGGCGGCCACGTGCAGAAGACGGCCACATGGTGTGACGGGCAGTGCCCGCTCCCCAGAGTCTCCAGGATCCTCCAGGAAATATGGCTGCCTCCAGCACAGGCCTCACTGCCTGGAGTGTTCTCCTGGGAGAGGAGCCCGTGGGTCCCCAGATGTCCCAATGCTGCCGCGGCAGAGCCAGTGACCCGGCTCCGGCACAGGAGGTCTCTAGTCACACGGGAACCTGAGTGTGTGTAACTTTACATCCATGATACTGTAAATCACAACTTTTCTTTTCCACTAAATTTTGTGTTTTAAAATCTGTTCATGTGGATATGAGGACACCTGATCAGTTTCCTTCTCACCACTTGGGATCTACTTTTAAATCTCTGAGGGTTGTCCTCACCAGGGCAGGCCATTGCCGTTGGTCTGAGTGTCCCAGACATAGTAATAGCTGGTGGTCATCTCAGATATTCACCTGACCCTAATGAAGTTTAAACATGGCTGGGTGGCTTCTCCTCCTCTTCTGAGTCCACAAATTCCTGGGCCTGTGTAGCTAATGCACAGGGACACAGCTCATCTGGGCTGGAGTGCACTGCGGACACCTGAGGGAGCTGGTCAGTCACCCTCCCGGGTGTTCCTGGAAGTCGGGTGGTCGTCTTCCAAAGGCAGTGACCAGGTAAGGGTTGCAGAGGCTGGCTCCTGTGTCCTGGGGCTGGGCAGGCCTTCCCAGATGGCCAGCTTCATGCTCCAGCCAAGCGGACTTAAAACGTTTGTCAGCGGGGATGGGCTTGTCTCTCCACATTCTAGAAAGATGCCTGTGTCTGAAGGTTTCAGTGTATTCTCGCTCCTTTCCCTCGTTTATAGCTAGGGGCTGCTGGCGCCTTAGGACTTGAACCAGCATTAGGGACAGTGGTGAGTCTCACTGTGGAGCCGGTCAGGTCAGATGACAGTGAGGTTTGCTCAGACGCAGCCTTCAGGAGCATGGGGCCATGTCATGCAAGGTGCACGAGCTCTGGCTGGAAGCAAAGCCCACCCGTGGGTGCCTCCCCCGCCCCATGAGGAGGGTCCCGCAGGCCCAGGACCAGTTGTGCACCAGGTGCCACCCTTACCACAGTCCACATGGGGTACAGTTGTCCTTGGGAACCAGGCTGCCCTCGGTGGGTATGTGATGGTGTCCATGGGGCCGGTGCCCTTTAGGAACCTGCACCATTTCCAGAGCTGCACTGTGCTCGGTGCAGCCAGTGCCCTGTGACCTTGGCCCTCTGACCTTGGCTCTCCCTCTCCCACAGGCTCGCTGACGTCCATGTTTGTCAGGCTGCCCTGTGGCGGTGTTGGGGTAAGTATTTCTTTAATGTGTAAATAATGTCCTGTTTGTTCTCGGGGTCTCAGTGGTCACAGAAACTGCCTCTCGCTCTCCAGAGTGGATAATGGCTGCCAGGTGTTTTCCATAAACGGGCTGGCAGCCGGGCTGCCCACTGCTCACACATGTGACTTCAAAGGCCCCGTGAGCCTGTAAGCGTTTGATGACTGGACTCGGGCACCTTCCTGGATAGGGTCGTCTGCCAGCCTCGGCTCATCTTAGGAAACAGGATCAGGTGTGCGGGCTGGTGTCCTAGCTGCAGAGCGAAGTCCGCTTGTCCCAACTCAGGTGGCAAAGACATTACTTGGCAGGCATGTGGGTCCTGTCCCAATTTCCAACCCCAAGCCCCAGTGGAGCTCAGAGTGTAGAACTGTGATATTCAGGGGCCACGAGAAGTTCGCAAAGCTGCGGGCTGGGTGTGTTCACTGCTTTTCCAACAGGGACAATTCCTTTAAGCAGGTCTGGTCAGGGCGACATTTAGGGGGCTGCGTATTAACGTGGGCGTTGAACTGGGAGGACTTTCTGGTGTGGGTGCAGCCTCCCTCAGTGCAGGGAAGGTTGGGTCTCCAGCCAGGGCCTCATTAATAAGAAGGGGTTCCCAGCCCCCACCCACTTGGATGAAGGAGGGTGGGGGGGGGAAACAGCTGCAGTTTTGGTGAGGCCATGCCTCCTTCCGGCGAACTGCTGGCCATGAAGCCCTGGCGGCCCGGGAAACGACCAAATGGACAACAAAGCCATCAGCTGAAACTGCACAGGGGCCGGGTGTGTGTGTAATTACAGATCGCCGGTGAGGCCCCAGGTCTGGATTCTGTTATGGAAATGAAACAAAATTGTTTTCTTCCTGAGTCTTTACAAAAATCGCTGCTTTGAAAATTACCTCGTCAGAAAGGGAGTCGGCAGTGTTCATTCATCCACCAGGCCTCCTAGAGCTGCCTCATTCTGAATCGCAAGTAGGCTGCAGTCTCTTAATTCAGGGCAAATTTCTGGCCAGACTTGAAAAGGTTTGGATTCGCACAGCCCTGCAGCCAGCACCGGCAAGGCAGGACTTATAATTTGCAAATGAAAGCTGAGTAGGACCTCGAGCCAGGCGCCCCTCCCCAGTGTGAGTCCAGATCTGACCGCAGGCTGACCAGCGCCCAGCTCACATCCAGGCACCGGATACTCTCCAGCCGGATACGGAGATCCCACCGCATGGGCTGGGAGAGGGGAGCCTGTGGGGAAATTAGCTGAAAGTGTGAACCACAGGGCATGTCTTTCCATTGTTTCCATAATTACCTGTACGAGGAAGGCAGAGCCCACCATGCAGCCCCCTGCCCAGGCTCTCAGTGAGTCGCTGGTGCAGCCGCAGCCTCCTGGGCCTGAGACTCCTCCCACATCAGGGACCAGCCCCGGAGGGCGTCAGGAAGCCCAGCAGACCCTGGGGGCCCCGGTGTGGGTGATGAAGCAGTGAGGAGTGGCTGCTCGGTCTTTCCTGAGTTACTTCAAGTTAACATTTAGGGTCTAACTCCTCCTTCCTTGACTATTAGAGATTAAATTGGGTCACTTTTTCAAACCAAGTAAAAGAAACTGCTTTGCTCACCTCCCGATTGTTACAGGTCTCCCATCGACTTGGTGGGTCCCCTGCCTGACTGGCCTGGGGCTCCCCTGTCCATGCACCCCATTCCCTGTGGGAATGTCCGCTCTGTCATCGCTGTAGGGAAGTGTGCAGTGGTCCTGCCCCTGAATTAATAGTTGCAGGGCCACCTCCCTACAGGCCCCCTGTCCAAGCCTTGCTCCCTTCCGGAACCTCATGCTTCTGGAACTTGAGACTGTGGCCCCACCAGCCCAGGCCGGTCCACGAGGCTGCCGGCCAGCAGCTGGAGGGCCGGCCCTGAAGCAATGGCAGGTCCTAGGGTCCTGAGGTGGGGCTGGGGGCTGTCCCTGGCTCTGGGCAGGTGTTACAGGACCCAGGGTGGGCAGGAGAGCAGAGCACAGACCTTCAGAGCTCACGGCATGTTGGTTCACTCTCCCTCCTGCACTGGTTACTTGGCCCTAAAGCCCAAATCTTCGCCTGTAGAAGAGAAATAACCTGAGTGGATTTGCTCAAACTGCCTTCGGCCCTCAGAGGAGTAGCCTCAGGGCTGGCCCACCCGCGGCAGTGTCATCCTCCTGGAGGCACAGGCAGCTGGCTGGTGGCCGCCCTGCTGGCTCTCGGGCAAGGCTGTCACCTTCAATTTTGCTGAGGCTGGTCCGCAACCGAGGCTTGGTGTAGACAGCTGGGTCCGACGGTGCCTGTGACGGCAGAGCAGTGTGACCTAGAACCAAGCCGAGCCTTAGAAGTCGAGTGTCAAAGTTGGGGGGGGGGTGCACAACATTCTCTAACATTTGGAAACTTTAAAGAACATCGAGGTTCGGCCATTGTGGAGAATAACCCTCATGGGGCAGCACACAGGCTGTGGCTTGAATGCCTCGGACACGCATTTTACTTTAAGTCGTCTGGCTTTGGAGACACAGCTTCAAGGCTTCCTTGAGAGAAGTCCACCTGCCTCCATGATGGTCAGAGGTGTTGTCGGAGGGGCAGGAGCCTGTGCCCTGCACTCACCTGCCGGGAGGGGCAGGCCCATTTGCAGCAGCACCTCTGTGTGCAGCTGCTGGGCTGTCTCAAGTCCCAGAGCCTCCAGCGCTCGGGAGGGGAGCTTGGGGAGGAGAGTCCTCACAGACTCCAGATGCTGTTAAAGGCAGACAGTCCTGTTACCTCACAGCTCAGACCTTCACCGGGCTGCGTCCCCCAGTAGGGCAGCAGGATGTGTGGCCGAGGCTCCTGTGGACAGGGCTCAGCGCCCTTGAGCAGCACCCAGGGGCTACCTGCTTCATCCTGGCCCTAGCCAGGGCTTAAGAAATCTCAATAAGCCAACACAGGTAAATCCCTGACGTGTCTGTGCCACACACACGTTGTTTGCAGTGGAGCAGCAAACAGGCAGACGTGCCATCACCTGAGCAGAGGGTGGCGCACGGTCCACCAGGATGTTCCCAGAGACCGTCCCTTCCCTGGCCCCACTCCATGCCTCCATCCCTGTGCCATGTATCCAGTATTCGGTGCTTCTGATTAAATTCAGCACAAAATAAGGTCGTAATTTGGATAGACCTCTAATTTTCAGATTTCATTTTGCTAATTATTAGGATAACTCAACTGCAGTTGGAGTAAAAAAAAAAGCAGGAGCTGACTAGGTGGCCTTGATGTGGTCACTCAGCTTCAGGTGTGTCAGAGCACCTGCGGAAATAGTGACGCTCCCCCAGGGTGAGCCCGGCACGCTGCTGGTGCAGCCTCTGGTCTCCTTGCTCAGGGTTTTTGGCTCATCTTCAGGAACCGGCGGGTACGTTCTGTGATGTGCGAGGAGGAGACAGGCTGTGGTGCGAGGCTTTGCTTCCGAGGCAGCGCCCAGGTGAGGTCTCACGGCTGCGTGTTGCTTCCGCAGGTGGACAGCGACACCATATGGAACGAGGTGCACTCGTCTGGGGCTGCCCGCCTGGCTGTGGGCTGCGTGGTGGAGCTGGTCTTCAAGGTCGCCACCGGGGAGCTGAAGGTCAGTGAGCACGCAGTGGAGATGGGCTCCTAGCAGGAACCTGCCTGGACATTTCTGGGGGACGGGGGAGTACAGCCACTGCGACTCCCCCTCTAGACAGGCACTACGAGGCACAGAGAGGGGACCCTGTTCTGTCAGCCACTGTGAATCAAGGGGACATTTCCCACATCTGTGAAAACATCGCGTAGCCGTCCTCAGGGTCGTGGGCCCACATTTATGACCTTGAAAATATCTGTCTGGCTTGGTAGGTCAGCTGGGTTCTCGCAGCCGCTTTCGCATGCTCTCTGGTACGTGCTGTTTTGTTTGAAGAAAGTCTGTCTCACACAGACACGGAATTGGGAAGGGAGGGGTGTTTCAGTAGCTTTTTGAGGCAGTTGTGGATACTCATTGCACAGTTAGCACTGACTTCATTGGGACAGTGTTCTGAGTGCTGGAGGAGTGGGGAACTCATGGGGCCAAGCAGGTTCCCCAGACCGCTCATTTCACTTGAACACTCAGATCTTAGCTCTGACGGATACCTCTGAGCCGTTTCCCCGGGTGGCGGCTCACTTGGTTTATTTTTGAGGAAGTCGGTTCACCAGAGTGAACAGCACTTTTTGGGCAGTGCTTCCAAGGAAAGCCAGTGCTCCAGTGGGGAGCAGCCACACTCAGGTCGGGCAGAACTGCTCTCGGCCTCCGCTTCCCCACACGGACACTGACGGGGTGTGCTCAGGGTCAAGAGTCGATGAGATCGATACGTTTTACTGCTTCATAAAGGACATTCTGCCTTTTCCCCCAAACGTGTGGTAAAGATCACACTGCCTGTGGGTGCCTGAGTTCCTGCTGTGACTGTCAGCGGGCCCACCAGTGTATCTGCACAGTGGGAGAGGTTAGGGTCATTATAACAGCTACCCCCAGAGGGACACAGGGACCCCAGGGTCTGCTGTCTGCACTCTGAGCACCTCTGCACAGGGTCTGTATGCAGGGAGGTGGGTCTGCACTACTGAGTATGCCGGAGGATCTCACGAGAGTGTGCCCCTCCCTGAGGTGGTCTCTGTGGCAGGCCACACAACCACTGCCCACAGCCCAGTTGTGGATGGTCAGCTGGACCTTGGAACTGGTACAGACCTTGACCACATAGCTTCCTGTTGCTGGTGAGACCAAGAGATGCTTGTGGGAACCATTTTTATGCAGCATATGCATCACATACAGTGTATACATCCTGTGCAGTGTATACATCGTATAGAGTATACATCCTGTGCAGTGTGTACATTGTATAGGGTATACATCCTGTGCGGTGTGTACATTGTATAGGGTATACATCCTGTGCGGTGTGTACATTGTATAGGGTATACATCCTGTGCGGTGTGTACATTGTATAGGGTATACATCCTGTGCGGTGTGTACATTGTATAGGGTATACATCCTGTGCGGTGTGTACATTGTATAGGGTATACATCCTGTGCGGTGTGTACATTGTATAGGGTATACATCCTGTGCGGTGTGTACATTGTATAGGGTATACATCCTGTGCGGTGTGTACATTGTATAGGGTATACATCCTGTGCGGTGTGTACATTGTATAGGGTATACATCCTGTGCGGTGTGTACATTGTATAGGGTATACATCCTGTGCGGTGTGTACATTGTATAGGGTATACATCCTGTGCGGTGTGTACATTGTATAGGGTATACATCCTGTGCGGTGTGTACATTGTATAGGGTATACATCCTGTGCGGTGTGTACATTGTATAGGGTATACATCCTGTGCGGTGTGTACATTGTATAGGGTATACATCCTGTGCGGTGTGTACATTGTATAGGGTATACATCCTGTGCGGTGTGTACATTGTATAGGGTATACATCCTGTGCGGTGTGTACATTGTATAGGGTATACATCCTGTGCGGTGTGTACATTGTATAGGGTATACATCCTGTGCGGTGTGTACATTGTATAGGGTATACATCCTGTGCGGTGTGTACATTGTATAGGGTATACATCCTGTGCGGTGTGTACATTGTATAGGGTATACATCCTGTGCGGTGTGTACATTGTATAGGGTATACATCCTGTGCGGTGTGTACATTGTATAGGGTATACATCCTGTGCGGTGTGTACATTGTATAGGGTATACATCCTGTGCGGTGTGTACATTGTATAGGGTATACATCCTGTGCGGTGTGTACATTGTATAGGGTATACATCCTGTGCGGTGTGTACATTGTATAGGGTATACATCCTGTGCGGTGTGTACATTGTATAGGGTATACATCCTGTGCGGTGTGTACATTGTATAGGGTATACATCCTGTGCGGTGTGTACATTGTATAGGGTATACATCCTGTGCGGTGTGTACATTGTATAGGGTATACATCCTGTGCGGTGTGTACATTGTATAGGGTATACATCCTGTGCGGTGTGTACATTGTATAGGGTATACATCCTGTGCGGTGTGTACATTGTATAGGGTATACATCCTGTGCGGTGTGTACATTGTATAGGGTATACATCCTGTGCGGTGTGTACATTGTATAGGGTATACATCCTGTGCGGTGTGTACATTGTATAGGGTATACATCCTGTGCGGTGTGTACATTGTATAGGGTATACATCCTGTGCGGTGTGTACATTGTATAGGGTATACATCCTGTGCGGTGTGTACATTGTATAGGGTATACATCCTGTGCGGTGTGTACATTGTATAGGGTATACATCCTGTGCGGTGTGTACATTGTATAGGGTATACATCCTGTGCGGTGTGTACATTGTATAGGGTATACATCCTGTGCGGTGTGTACATTGTATAGGGTATACATCCTGTGCGGTGTGTACATTGTATAGGGTATACATCCTGTGCGGTGTGTACATTGTATAGGGTATACATCCTGTGCAGTGTATACTCCTGTGCCGTGTCTACATTGTATACAGCAGCCACAGAGCATCTTTAAAGTGGACGGTTCTTTAAAGCATACCTGACCTAGAGGTCCTAATAGAAGGTGGGGTGTATGCGGCTCCCTCCAGCCTCTGAGGCATTTCTTCCCAGTACTGATGGGCTTGTTTTCCACACCGCCCATTCCCCTGTGCACTGAGCCACAGTGATAATGACAGACCTTCATGTCAAGGCCAAACTGGGGCATGACATCTGCCCCACAGCCAAGCCCCTTCCATTTCATCTGCATCCAGGGTCCCCATCAGGTTGCTTCCTAGGGGGACTGTCCCAGTCAGAGGAGGCTGAGGGTTCTCTCCAGCCCTCCCAGATTCCCACACTGAGCAGCGTCCACCCTGGCCAGCAGACTGGCAAAGGTAGAAAGTCAGGGACAACTTCCCCTAAGTAACTGCGATCACCTGTAGACTAAAAGAAGTGACTGGCTGTCTCCGCAATGCTGCAACCAGCCCTTTATCCTGTCCCTGTCTGTGCCCTGGGTGCCACATGAATCTACGTCCTCGCATGCCCTCTGAATCTGCTGACCATTCCATCTGTACAATGTTCTCACTGATGTGAAACCCATCTTTCCTCCCTGTTCCCCCCACCTGTCTGGTGTCCCGTGTAGAACGGTTTTGCTGTGGTCCGACCTCCAGGACATCACGCGGAGGAGAGCACGCCCATGTAAGTAGACACAGCGGGCCCTGCGGGCGGGGAGGGGCTGGTGTCTGACTCCTTAAAAGGCTGAGTTGCCACCTGCCCGCCCTCCTGTGCTGTGGAATGTGCTGTGTGCACCAGTGCCGTGCGTCCCCGGTCTAGCACGAGTGACTAACCACTGATGGTTGTGGTGAAGAGATGAACTGGAGAAGGGAACAGAAGGAAAGGAATCCACAGAATCAGTCTAGAGAAGTCTTCCAGCTGTTAAGTTTGTTGAAAAAATTGGGAGAGGAAACTTACATCGAACAGATGAGCCCCTGGCACATCTTCGTCACTGAGTGTTCACACCCCCTGCTTGTTTTCAAACGGCCTCTCGAGTAACTGCTGACAGTTGGTAGTGACGAGGTGGAGGTCCCAGGGTGGTCACCACACAACCAGCTCTCTGGACTGTTCCGAGTTCTGAATTCTGCTGGCTCCATGCACATCTAAGGTGGTGGCCGAGGTGGCACATGTGGTGTGTGAATTGTCCCCTGTCCATCATGTTCGTGGAGAGCCAGTGACTGGTGCACACTCCCTGGGGCGAGGTCACAAGGACTTACTCGGTCTCAGGTGCTGAGCAGAGCACCTCTACTGCCTGGGGGTGAGGTGCCGGCCTTCAGGGCCTGGGAAGCACCCCAGTGAGCACCGTGGGCTCCCCACTGGGACACAGCCCAGTGAGTTAGGAGGAGGGTGACGTTGGGGCTGCGCCTTGAGGCATGAGGTGTGGTTTGTGACCTGGCAAAGCAAGGACTTGGGGACAGCCCTGTCAGGTGGGGCCAGGAATTGCGGGGGGCGGGAGGGGGCAAAGCCTTCTTGAAGCCACTAGACCATGGCGGGGCCGCAGACTGAGCCATGATGCCCAGAGGATCCTCTGTCATTTCAAATCTGGAGTGCGGGTCAGAGTAGAGGCTCAGAAGGAATTGTCTCCATGTAGGAAGAGTGGCATGGCTATGGGTTGGAGTCTTGGCAACCTCCCCGAGAAGTCACTGGCTGCCCTATGGCCCAGAGCACTCACTCCAGGCCACCAGGGAGCAGGGCCTGTCTCAGTGCTGAGTGACCTCTCGTTGGAACCTCAGTGTTAGATATTCCGAGTGGTGAACTCAGATGCCTGCTGTGGGTGACAGGGCTGTTTTCAGTGCATGAGCTACAGCCACGCATCCTGGGAAAGGGGGTCTCCCGGACTGTAGTCTGGATTCCAGGAGCAGCATAGCCAGGCCGCTGGGCCCTGGAAATCCTGGCACAGGGAGAGGGAGGCTGGGAAGAGCTTTGTTCTGACACGAATTCTCTTTCTTGTCTTTTCTTGCTTTTAAATAACACTCTGGAATTGCAGGCCCTGGGGTGTCTGTAACCGTCGTCGTGTGGCTTAGAACGNTTGCTTTTAAATAACACTCTGGAATTGCAGGCCCTGGGGTGTCTGTAACCATCGTCGTCGTGTGGCTTAGAACANGCCCTGGGGTGTCTGTAACCGTCGTCGTGTGGCTTAGAACGTGGAAAGACGGGCAGTGAGCAACTGAAAGAGGCCACGTCTGTGTTCTGTGGCCCATAGTGTCTCGAGAGGCAGTAAGAGTGAGATGTTGGTACAAAGTGAAGTGGATTTTCTGACAGGGAGCCTGACCTGCACACAGGAGGCTGTGTGTCCGTCAATCATAAGCATCAAGCAAGGTTCTCAAACTGCTTGATTGGAAACTGCATTCACCAGAGCCTCTTAAGACTCCCCACGGTTCTGTTGCAAGTTGTGTAAACAATGATCCAGCCCTAGTGGGTGTGGCTCAGTGGTTCACCGTCTCTCTGTGAACCAAAAGGTTCCTGGTTCGACTCCTGGTCAGGGCACATGTTCAGATTGTGGACTCGATCCCCAGTAGGGCATGTGCAGAAGGCAGCCCATCGATGCTTCGCTCTCACATGGATGTTTCTCTCTCCTTTCCTCTCTCTCTAAAAATCAATTTAAAAATATTAAAAACACAAAACTGATCCAGACCCGTATTTTTCCTGCATTTCACCTGCAGGGGCTTCTGCTACTTCAATTCTGTGGCCGTGGCAGCCAAGCTTCTCCAGCAAAGACTGCATGTGAGCAAGACACTCATCGTGGACTGGGTAAGGGGCCACTGTCCCCAGGCAGGGCTGGGACAGGGCCAGTGGACTGGGTAAGGGGCTGTGCTCCCCTGGGCAGGGCTGGGACAGGACCAGTGGACTGGGTAAGGGGCTGTGCTCCCCTGGGCAGGGCTAGGGGAGCTGTGATTCCCGCAGGAAGACAGTGACTGTGTGGAGGGAGGTGGCAGGCATTTCTGCCTCCTCACACATTTAGACTTGGGGACCTTAGCTTCTGGAACTCAAAGATGCAGCAGATAGGAGCCCAGACCTGTTGTGGGTCTGTTTCACAGCTTCGGCCAGCTGGTCCCGCCAATAATCGGGCTCCTGAAATGCTAGAAATGTGCTGTGGTCAAGGGTGACCCTGGCAAAGCCTGGCTGGGAGGCAGGTTTAGGAGGAGACGTGCTCCTGTACCATGTGCCTCTGTCTGAGTGCGCCCACGTCACCCCTTCATCAGTGGGCTGCGTCGCTCGGCCTCACTCCTGAGCAAATGCTCCTCTTGCCTCGGCACCCAAGACCCATCTTCAGTCTCCTTTCCCATCTTCCGGCAGCCTCACACCCAGCGCCCAGAGGGCGAGCTCTAGTTAAAAACGCCGGGACCCCGAGCTTCACAGACAGAGTCAGGGCTCTCATGCATGCAGCGGTCGTCAAGGTGTCCATAGAGGGGGGCGGGAGGGGTATTCTCTTTCGTGTTTATCGTTAACTTTATCATAATTCTGAAGGAAAAAATCAGGTACACCGGGCGGGAGTATCATTTGTAATGCAGAGTCCTCAGTGTGGATGGGAAAGACCAAACACAACCCAGGATACCCAGCGAGCTCCCGGGTGTGGGCGCGGCCATGAAGTCAGGGTGTGTAGGTGGCCGCGGCGGCGTGACCAGCACCGCAAGTCACGGGCTCCAGCACTCCTGGCGCCCGTGTCCCTGAGCCCTCAGCTGCTCCTGCGGGGTCACCAGAAATGCTGGGGAGGCAACAAGTGCGATGCAGGGCGTCCCGTGGGATTCATGCGGCGCAGGGCTGGAGCCGTGTCCGCCACGCAGGCACAGCCGCAGCGCTTGGCGGAAGCTGGGGGCCCGACGGGACCTCCGGGGCGCGCTGCAGAGGCATGTGGCGCCACGTCCCACAGGGCAGGCGGGGCACCTGCTGCCTGCTGCGCAGCAGCCGTGGCTCCTGGTGGCTGGATCAGGTGTTTGTTTCTCATGGCCCCTTGCTTACCGAGGTCCCACGTTTTCTACAGTGAGCACAGATGACTTTTACAAAGAAGAGAAAGATACTGGCGGTTCTCTGGTCCCAGTCGCTAACATGCTAGCAGTCCCTTGTGCGCACAGGGGCTGTGGAAGCAGCCCCTGCCTCCCCCCAGTCCCAGTGACCCTCACAGTCCCGACCCGAGAAAGTGGGTCCTAGGTCCTGGAGGAAGCCCAGCCACCTAGTGTTGTGGTTAGAAGTGGTTTGTCGATTTAGTTTGGGACCTGGGCCTGCTATGCTGTGTGCCTTGTGCACCTGCCACTCTGCCCTGTAAGGTGGTCTCCTGCCATGTCCCAGTGTCAGGCACAGGGCTGACACCTTGTCCTTGTGGAAAGCGAGCACCCTGGACAGAGGGGGGAGGCAGTGGCTCACTTTTCACAGACATGGCTGGGCAGGAAATTAAATGACCTGGAAAATCGCCTCCAGGCAGGGTTGAAATGCCAGCCTTTTGTCCTTGTTAAAGCCTGCGGTCCGCCCTGGTGCTAGAGCTCCAACACAGGACGGCCTCTTCCTTCTAGTCCCTCGGCCCCTCTGTCCGACTCCCAGGGGACAGCAGCTGGCATCCCCATGCAGTCAGTGCCTGGTTGGGGTGCTGGGTAACTGTGCCCAGGGGACATCCTGGCCCAGCCCAGCACTGAGCCTGCTCTCTACTCAGGATGTGCACCACGGAAACGGGACCCAGCAGGCCTTCTACAGCGACCCCAGCGTCCTCTACGTCTCGTTGCACCGCTACGATGACGGCAACTTCTTCCCTGGCAGCGGGGCACCTGACGAGGTGAGTGGGGCCTCCCAGTGGTGGGGGACTTCGGGAGGAGGTCAAGGCAGGGCCACCTTGGAGATGAGAGGGCAGATTGCAGGCAGAAGCAAGGGCTGCCCACTCGTGGAAACCACAGGAGGTGACGAGGCAGGCAGCCTGAATGCCATCCCGTGTGTGCACGGCGGCCTGATGTTATCTGTCATGCAAACAAAAGCCTGGAGACCGCGTTCCATCCCTGTCTGGGCAGACGGAGGTGCTGCTGAGCGCGAGCGGGGTGTCCCTCCGCGTGGCTGCTGTCCAGCCCCTCAGGCAGGCTGCCTGTGCTATGCTCTCACCCGCGGTGCCACACAGTGGGCGCCGGGGCCACAGGCTAGGAGCCTTCTTGACACCCAGCCAGGCCTGCCCGCCCTCTGAGCAGAGCCCCAGCCCACCCGCCTCCAGACCTTACTTCCTGGGAGGAAGCTGCAAGGGCAGCCCCGTCTGCAGCATTTGCTGTGGCCCTCGGCTGGTCTGTGCCTGTCCCTCAGCCCAGAGTGGCAGGTCCCCCAGGGCCCAGGGAAAGGGCAGCCCCACAACACCCACAGGTCAGGTGGGCCGGATGGGAGCCTGAATTTTGTGAAAACGTGCCGTCGTCTGAGTCAACCCGAAGGTTGTGGGGACAGTGACAGCTTGTGAGGAACACAGCCACAGCTCTGCTGTGAGGCCACTGGGGCCAGCCCTGCAAGGGTCTGACATGTGCTTCTCTCCTCCCCGCAGGTGGGCACAGGGCCGGGCGTGGGCTTCAACGTCAACATGGCTTTTACTGGTGGCCTCGACCCCCCCATGGGAGATGCAGAGTACTTGGCAGCCTTCAGGTAAGTGTCCGGGCTTCCTGTCCATGGACATTTGGGGACCTCACAGAACTCCACCCCCACATCCCAGCTCCTGTTTCTTTGACCCTTACCTTCCTTCATGAGCACCCAGACCCCTCTCAGGAGGACCCTCCAGCGTGCGTCCCCCCAGGGGCACCTTACAGAAAGGGCGAGGCTTGGGGCCCTGGGGCAGGGTCTCAGTTCCTCCTTCAAGCTGAAGGGGGGATCTTTGAGGCTGTCTGCTGGCCTTTGTCTGCAGTACCCCTGGCTGTGTGCTTTGGTTCCTGGTGGTTCCATGCAAGGTGTCGGGAGGTGTGTTAACGAGAGGTGCTCAAATCTGGAAGGCTGCAGTCTCCTGACATTGCTTTCAGAAACTGCTGTGAAAAGACAGGAAACAAATAAACGTCCCTCCTTTGTTGGTAACTGGAAGGGCTCCCCAGTCCTGCATTTGCCCTCCTTACTCTGGGCCCTAAACTGAGCCCAGAGTGAGTTCCCACATCTAGTGTTTGCTTTTGTCATCAAATTCTGATTTCTGCTTTGATTTGGGCCACACTGAGGTAGTTCCTGCAATGCAGGCGGCCTCCTTGTTGACTTAAAAATGGCAGAAGGCACAGCTCAGGGTGGGGCAGGCCTTCGGGGGGAGGAGGAGACTCTCGTTTGCTGGTGAAGTCTGACCACTCTCAGCCTTCGTTAGAAAGCCCCAGGAGTTAGTGCCCACGGCATCTCCAGTGACTTTCTCTCCACCTCCCTCTCTGGAGCCTGAGGTTCCCTGAAGGACACACCTGCGGAAGCTTTGCTGGGGATTCTGCTTCCATCTCCAATGAGAACTGGGGAGGAGGGGTCATGTGACCCCTCGCTTGCCTCAAAACGGGGTCCTAACCCCAGTGTCAGCGTGCTTGTGGGGGCCTGCGAGGGAGAGGCCTTCGGTCAGCTACTCCAACGATGGGATGGGTCTGAGAACAGGAGCCAGTCCCCTGTGGGATCTCACTGATCACTTTTCCCTGTGGTCTCATCAGCTTAATTGCAATGTTCCTTCTTACTCCATCAGATATAGTGGAATTTTGATAATTGCTCTGCCTAGTTTAGGAGAGGAGGCGGCTCCAGGTCCAACACAGGAGGATGTGCTCATGTGCACCGTTAAGTACCAGCTTCATGAAGTCTGAACCCGTGTGGTGCCCCCATCTGGGCTGTCACTGCATCTGTGGAGCAGCCACTGGAGTAACTGTCCCCTCCCGCCTGAGCACCGGCATCTCAGGAGGCTCCTTTGGAAATGTCCAGTTGCCACCATGAGGGTTGTGAACCCAGGGACCAAGTGAATGTGGGTCCCACCCAGGGACCAAGGCACAACCTGGCAAACCTGGTGCAGGCAGAAAAGGCAGAGCTTCCTTTAAACAGGTTAGAAGGGGTGAGAGCAGGTGGCGCTCTTTCCGACCGTTTTTTCTGGCTGGATTTGCCGGGATTGGCCCCGAAGCCCGTGTCAGTTTCCTGGGTGCTCATTCCTGGGCGGATGGGCTGACGTGCCGGCTCCTCCTCTGGCGGATCATTGGTGGCGGGCGGGATGGGGGGCAGCCGGGGCCCCTGGAAGGCGGCCGCTCCCCTGCCAGCCTTTAAGATGAACCTTTCCCTCGGAGCTGCTGTCGACATTCTGTTTTAATCTTCTGCCAAGTGTGTACATGATGATACCTTATCAAATGAGCCTCTTAAGCTCAAATAGCTTCTTTGAAAAGGAAAATTGTTTCAGGGTTTTTTTTTATTGATTTTAATGTAAAATAGCACTTTGAAGTTTACAATTTATGGTTCCCTGTGCATTGATCGGATGGGGAAGAGGGTGAGGATCCGCTTTCCCCTTTCTTCTGTGCTGCTCCCCTGGGCCCCCGCGGACAGTGCGTGCCTTGGAGGGAGCGCGGTGTCCAGACCCCGCCTGCCACGTTGCATTTCAGGAGATCAAGCCTGCGATGCAGAGGAGATAAGGAGAGCGCTCTAATGAAATCCAGGAGCAGCCGCGCTTTCTCCTGGGCTGGAGGCTCGTAGGAGAAAAGGGGTCTAATTCAAACCAGTGGGGTGAGGCTTTGAAGTGGGCTGAGGAGCTAAGGGGGGCTGGGGCTGCAGGAGATCCTGGTGCACTTTCCTTAACCCCTCACTCACCTGCATCTGGCAGCCGAGCAGGTCCGCCTGTCAGCGTTGAGGCAGTGAAACAGGATTGTCCCTGCTCCGAAATCGTGGTTTGGATTCAGTGTGACACAGTGTCTCAGAGGTGTCAGGGGACCTGCAAATCCCAAAGCAGTGACTGCAGTGGCCTAGCAGTTGAACGGCAGGCAGGTCACGTCGCCTTCCCTGCCTTCCAGGGGTGGTGTAAGATTGCGGTGCCTTTGACTTTTGTCACACCCATGGGGTGTGTTCTGCTTCTTTCTAACTGTCCTGTTGGGCTCAAATATCCCTGACGCTCCAAGTTCTCTCCGCGTCTCTTCAACATGTCTCTGAATTTTACCTGAGGATGTTCCGCAGTGATTTTAGAAGCAGAAGATGTAAGCTAGAAACTCAGAGTTGGGCTGTCTCGTGTTCAGCCGGCCTTTTACGTGCCCTGGGCAGTGGTAGGGATAGAACAGGTGATCCACACAGTGCCTGCCCCCTCAGGTGGCTCACACGGGGACCACAGGGCTACAGCAGGTGGTGTAGCCACTGAGACCAGTGTTAGGGGACCCAGGCGATCTTGCAGCAGCCAGTCCAGATGCAAACCCGCCTGTGTGTGTGTCTATGGCCCAGGGAGCTTGACCATGACCCTGATAGTCGAGTGTCCAGGGGCTCTGACCAGGTGACTGAAAACTAGCCAAGCCCCGTCCGATCCATGTTTGTTCCTTGGCCCTGATGGACGGTGCCTGAGGTGCAGACCCTAAAAGGCTTGTGCAGGGGGCGTCCTGAGGAAGCTAGTGAACTGCAATCCGCCTTGGAGAGAGGAAAGCCAGCCGGCCGCCTGCCATGACTTCCCAGCATGAGGTTCCTGGAGCGAGTATCTCAGCAGCTGGGACCTGCTTCTGTGGCAGATGCTCAGCCTGACAAGAATGGGTGGCAGCTGGGTCACGCGGCCCACACTCTGCTGCAGGAGGCGCCGCCTGGGGGCCCCTCAGCACCAGGCGTGCTTGTTCCCGAGTGGCTGGTCCTGCGGAGACGGGTGGTGGGTTTTCATCTCTTCTCCCATCAGAGACCCCGGGGCTTCTCGGTGGGGTTGCCATCCAGGGTTGCTCCGGGCAGAGGACGCTCTCTGGGAGCTTTTCCGGGTCCTTGGGCGAAGTCGGTGCTTTGTGGAGTTGGCTCTACTGACTTATGTGGCGGTTTTCATTGTGTGATAAAGGGCTCTGCTATGTGGAAGGGACCATAGCCCGTACCCGGTGCCTGTGACCGCCTCCCGCAAGGTCCTCCGAAGCTCTGAGTGAAGGGAACTGGGGCTCAGGGCTGAGCCGCTGGGCTTGGTACTGGGGGTGCTGCAGGAGCCCGAGCAACCCTTTGGTGCAGCAGAAACTGGGTTGAGCGGCTCCGAGAAGCAGACGGAGGAATTGTGAACGCTGGACTTGCCCAGCGGGACGGGCGGGGAGTCTGCAGAGACCCCCTGCACCTGTGGTCCTGCTCACCTCACCCACCCGTTCACCAAGACGGGAAGGGGGTCGTGGAATCCGTGGTGATTAATTCCAAGTCACATAAATAAGCTTGGATGACAGATGCCACTGCTGGGCTTCCGATTGTAATAGTTACTCGGAACACAAAACACATGCTTACTGGACATGCTGACCTAATTGCACTGCAGGCTCCCAGGTGGCGCTTTTGTGTTAAGGAGTGTTTTTCCTGGTTTTTCTGGGTAGACCGTTTTCCTCATTTCCCTGGTGTGACGTAACCCCGACCTCAGTTATCTTAAACGTGACCATCAGTTTTCCTTCTGAAAATCTTAATGTAGAGTTTTTTAACTAACCCGGTGCAGGTGTGCCTACAGTCAGTCATGTGTTGCTGCCCTGGCCCTCGGGGTGAGTGGAACAGGCAGAAGGGCTCCCCTGGGGCCAGGGCTGCTCAAGGGCTCTCCCACCTCCTCAGCTACACTTGGCCCTGGGTCCCCAGTGCTGGGGGCATGGCTGCCCACTTTGAATCAGGGCCAGTGTGAGGTGAGCAGAGCTGCCCACACCTTTGGGGAGGGCCCTGAGCAGCCCTGGCAGTGGGCTCCACTTCCCCTGTGGTGCACCTGGTGCTGGGGCACAGATACCTCACAGTCCGCAGAGACGGCCGCCTGCTGGGCCACCTGTGCGTAGCTGGCACTGAGCGTTCACACCGGGCTTGTTGGTTTGGACTTTTTAGATACTGTGAACTCTCACGTCAGCTGTCAGACTGGATCCAGCTCCCTTGGGAGCCCTCGGCCCACGAACCTTGAGGGGAGCTGGGCAGGTGCGGTCAGTGACCAAGCAGCCCTGCTCCACAGCTGTGTCCTCAGCTCCTCAGAGTCGCCTTCTCCTGCCCTTTGCAGAATGGTGGTCATGCCAATCGCGAATGAGTTTGCCCCGGACATGGTGCTGGTGTCAGCCGGCTTCGACGCCGTGGAGGGCCACCCCACACCTCTGGGCGGCTACAACCTCTCTGCCAAATGTAAGTCAGGTTTGCAGGATCCTTCCTGGGACCTGCTGTGTCTGTGACCAGCTGTGCTCTGTGTCTTATGCCTCCCCTTCAGTGACCTCTCACCAGAGACATGACAGTGTGGGCAGCTCTGGAAAACAAAGAGGTCAGCGGATGGTGGGGACCAGGAGGCCGCAGGCACTCCCTGCTGGAGGTCTTGCAGTCCCCAGGTGCTGACTGGGGTACTCATGCTTAGCTGGGAGCACGAAGGCCACCTCTGGGGGCCAGATCTCCAATACAACTGAGAGCTGATGGCTGTCGCCCATATGGAGGGGAGTAGCTGAGAACAGGTTCAGCTCCAAGTTGGAGAGAGCAGGGAGCCCCATATTATGGGCTTGACGGGTTTGCATTAGATGACAGCCCTGCTTCTGCTATGGGAGGGAATCCTGTGGAAACCGCCCTCCCACCAGGAGGGCCTCTGCTTCTGTTGTCACAGCTGCCACATCAGAGACCTCCTGGTGTAGGGCCCTGGTCCGCAGAAAGGCCCTGGGTGCCCCCACCCCTGCCTGGCCACCGCCTCCCACCACTGTGGTTGTCACAGTAGTCGAGGTCCTGGGATTCTCTGAGGGCTTCCTGGGGGGTCCCTTGTGCTGACCCTGTGGGTGCAGTTGGCCAAGGAGAACCTGTCTGTCTCCCCTCCCACAGAGTATGGGTCACCAGGGAGGAAAGTGGGAAGCAAAGGACAGTGCTGGTGTGGCCGTGCTCCCACCTGGGGCCTCAGACCCCCGAGCCGGGCAGTGCAATTTAGTGGAGAGGAAGTGACCAGGCTGAGCCTCATGTAGTCTTCACAGCAGCCTGGAAGCCCACGTCCCTGTTTCCACCAGAGACAAACCAAGGCTTTGGATGGTTGTGGCCTCACAGTGCCCACAGCTGCCAGGGAGCTCCCCCAGCGGGGGCCCAGTCTGCTGAAGGCCAGCTGGTGATGGGCTGCTGACCGGTGTGGCAAGGTTCTCACTGGCTCTTTAATAAATGTCAGGCTGTTCTGGCCGAGGGTGGTAATTATCATTACCCGTCAGGCGATTCTGCCCGTGGGAGGGTGACGTGGGTGCAGCAGAGGGAACATGGCTATTGATGAAAACCAGACGCTCCAGACGTGGCTGCCAGAGTCCTGGGGGGGCACATGCAGCGTTGATGTATGTGCCAGAGTGTATGTGTGTGTGCCCAGCACACTCACTGACCAGAAGCCCTGGGCCTCGGATGGACACTGCTGAGCCCCCTGCGGCTGCCCACAGCTGCCCTGCTCTGGGCACCCCTGCTTCCTGGCCTCTGGTCCCCATGTGAGAGCTGAGGGCCTCCTCCCGTGGCCCCTCCCTGCCCCCCGATGGGGTGATTTGCGGCATTATGAAATCAAAGCCCTGGAACCGCAACCACACAGATCAAGTGGGGTCCCGTCCAGATTCCACGACGGATTTACTGCAGTTGAGCCTGGCTTCCATTATAAGCGGTGGTGTGCCGGCCCCGGGTCTGTCCTGTGATGTGATGTGATGTGCTCTGGGCGCTTTGATCTGCTGCCAGCCGTGGCCCACGCCCACCCTGCGCCTGCCCTGCCCTCCACTTGCATCTCCCGTTTCCCGTTGCAGGTTTCGGGTACCTGACGAAGCAGCTGATGGGCTTGGCTGGTGGCCGGATCGTCCTGGCCCTGGAGGGGGGCCACGACCTCACAGCCATTTGTGACGCCTCAGAAGCATGTGTTTCTGCTTTGCTGGGAAATGAGGTAGGCACACCGGAGGCCGCGGGAGCTGCGTGCAGGCTCAGGCCCAGGCCTGTGTGGGCATTTATTTGGCTTCCCTCACAGTGTGTGATGCCACCCCCACCCCCACTCAGCAGGCTACACATCTGACACAGCTGCTTGTTTGTGCCACAAGGAGGTGAGCAAAATGATCTCCAGGAACCCTTCCTCTTAAAACGAAGGCTCAGGATCCTGTATTTTAAAGGTGCTCACCTTGGTATGGGGGTCACCTGGAGAGGACTCAGGTTCTTCCTCCAGAGACGTCAGTTCCCTGGAGATTAAGGCAGGCTCCTGGAGGGGCAACACAGTGCAGGTCTCAGGGCTGGGGGAGAGGCCTCCGCCTCCTGGGTGCACAGACACCCAGGGCCGGCTCTGCACCGTGTCCCCACCAAGGCCACAGAACACGATCAGGGAAATGCAGTGACTGCACCAATGGGGCTCAAGGGTCTGGATCAGGGCAGGGGACTTTGAGGATTTGAGGAGAGCCCCTGGAAAGCTGCACTCCAGGCCGATGTGGGCCAGGGCAGGGCAGGGTGTGCCTTCAGGGAGGGTACGAGGTCCAGCCCGCTGAGCAGCCAAACTTCCTGAAACTAAATCCACCCACAGGTCTTTGGACATGTGGCTACACCTCTCCCCTGAGCCCATCAGAGGTTTATGGAGCAGGTTCAAGACCCCCCACTGCAGCTTTTCTTGTTGCTGTGATGTCACACGGTCCTGGAAACGAGCCGACTGGTGTTTGCCGGGCTCGGGTGGGTGCCCTAGATCACAGGCCCGACCACATAGGGAGGGGCTGGGCCCCTGTCCCCTGCCATCCCTGGGACCCCCTCCCTCACCTGTCAGAGGGATGGGCCTTCTTCAGGTCACTAGGCGAGCACACTTCTCAGTCAGGTTGGAGCATAGGTGTCCAGTCAGGGTGCTGTCTCCACGTCCACCCTCGCCCCCCTGCTGGCCAACACCAAGACCACAAGGCTCCTGTTAAGGCCCATCTTAGGTGCAACACCCTTGTACATTCACTGCTCAGTGGGGCTCCTTCCAAACAGCGTCAGACCCTGTGGAGCTGAGCAACCAAGAGACCTCCTCCAGGAGATGGTCACTGGAGCCCATCCTGGCCATTCCCAAGGCTGCCTTCCTAGACCCCCAGCTGGGAAACAGCCAACCAGTCCCATGAGGCGTGTGGGGAGAGGTCGGGTGGGGCTTTGAGCAGGGGCTGCAAGCTTCCTGTGAACTTGAGCATCCCCCAGGCTGTGATGGGCGGCCAGTTGTAGAGAGGTCCCCGTAAGTGACACCGCACTCCGTCCTCGAGCTGTTCCCAGGCCACGTCACCCCGTAACTTGTATGAACTGACAGAAGGTGGGCTGTGGGCAGGAGGAGGGTATGGCCAGTGTCCTGCCAGGCTCAGGGGAGTCAGAGATGGCGGTGGTATTTGGAAAGCAAAGGTGAGGTCTGCACCCAGCTCCGGGCCCCACCCAGCTACTGTGACAGTGACCTGATGTGGGGCTGGGCCCATAGAAAGCTGCGTGTGTGTCCTCTGTGAGGGGAACCGGGCCAGGTGACCCTAGGGAGTGGGTACCTTGGAGGAAGGCTATGGCTCTGTGCCCTGCTCAGGCCAGTCCTGAGGAGAGTGGACTGAGTGAGCAATGTCCTTGGTGTGGGTTGACCCAGCACGCTCCCTGGGGCTGCAGTCACGGCGAGAGCTCAGGGCTGGCGGGGAGAGGAGTGGTCCTGGCTCCCTGCGAGCAGTTTTAACCACGTGCCTCGTGGCACTCGAGCCAGCTCCCGCTCCCCCNGTCACGGCGAGAGCTCAGGGCTGGCGGGGAGAGGAGTGGTCCTGGCTCCCTGCGAGCAGTTTTAACCACGTGCCTCGTGGCAGCTCCCGCTCCCCCGCCCCCTTGTCGTGGCTGGTGTTCCCTTCAGGCCGGGTCACAAGTAGATCAGAGGTCCCAGTGCCTCTCGTGTCTGGTCAGCTGGTTACGATGTGCTTGAACGCTCCCGAGTAAAACGCCAGGTTCCTTTTTAAAGTGTCCACAGAATTTCATGTGCTCTTTCTTCACATAAAACAATCTCCTCCCTTTTTTGCCAAAGTTAAAAGGCAACCGACTTATGTATTTAAACCGCCCTAAACCTTTTGATTCTTCTAGTTACTTTAAAATAACAATAGAGACCTGAGCTTTCGACCGACGCCTGTCCCCACTTCCCAGCGCGCTCACTTACACACATCAAAACGCAGGAAGCGCGGGTTTATCAAGGCCTCTTAAAATCTTTTTAATGCAAGAAAGTTGGACGGAGCCCCGCTCCTCTGCCCCGTGTGGCCTTTGATGAGGTTGATGTATGGCGTGTTGGACGACTTGGCGCACACAGCGGGTGGCCAGCTGTGGCCAGTGCGGCCGCCAGGCAGGGTGGCTCTGGGGGGCGTTAGGCAGGGGCAGGGCCTACGGCCGGAGAGCAGCCTGGCCGCCGAGGTCCGTGCTGCTCCCAAGAGCCGTTTATGTGATGGTTCTGCTTCGTATGTGACGGTCGGTGACCACTGACCGTGAAGAGTCTCATAGATGTGTTTCAGGAGCGTTGCGGACAGCGCACAGGGCGTGGGCAGGCGGGTGCTGTTTCTTCCCGCTCCCCCCTTCCCTTTGGCCTCACTGACTGGTGTCGCTGCTGGCGGCCGGCCCGTCTGTCTGGCCGTCCTGCGCCTGTGCTGTGTCCCTTGCTCCTTGCTTGTGGCTTCTCAGGCTGCCGGATGGTTCTTCCCCCACACAGCCGCTTCCCTTGGGAAGGACGGTGTGCGACCCTCCCAGGGTGTTGCTCTAAGGCCTTTGTTTCACCCTCACTGTTGATGGGGGTTGGCGGGGCTCACGGCCCTGGGTTGTCACTCGGCACGCGGAGGGTGTCGCCCGCCGTCTTCCTGCTCCTGGGCCGTGACGCGGCGCCCCGGCGATGCGGCTCCTTGAACGATTGTCTGTTTCCTCCGGCTGCTGTGAGAACTTTCCGCAGGTTCACGCTGATGTGCCTGGATGTGGGTTTCCTTGTAATTTGTCGTCGTGGGTCCTGACCCCTCCTGAGCTGAGGGTCAATGCACTGGTCAGACCTGGACACCCTCAGCGTGGGCCCTGTGATAAGGGCCCCCGCCCCCGGGGCCTGAGGCGATAAGCAGGCACCTTCTGCAGCCTCAGCTGCACTCAGACCGTTTCTTCGGTTGCCGCTCCCACGTGTGTTCCTGGTCCACCCGCTGCAGCCACTCTGGCTGTCCCAGGCCTCCGGCTACCTGCGTGTGTCCCGTCACCTGCACCAGCACTCAGGGACCCACCTGGAGCAGAGGCTTCTCCTGTTCCGCTCCCTCCCTCCCTTCTGTTCGCCCTCCCCCATTACCGGGGGATACTGTGGCCGGGACGGTCCAGTGTCCTCATTAAAATGCCAGGCGTGTGAACACGTTATTTCCAAAGGTAACAGTTGTTCCCCTGGTCTCGAGCTGAGGTCTCACCAGCCCCTCCAGGACACCATCTGTTGTCCTGTGCATGGGGACCAAGTACACCTGAGAGTTTCCTGAGGAAGGTGCCCTAAGGAAAACAAGTCTGTTCATGTGACAAGAGCTCATGTGACAAACCCGAAGCCCCGCCTGGTGTTAGAGTCGCCTTCTCCTCAGTGTCAGCAAGTGTGCCCGAGACGCAGGACCAGCTGCGAGCAGCCGCTGTGACGCCCGGGTTACGGACGTTTCTTACTCACATTCAGTCGCGTGTCTTTTGCAGCCCGATCCTCTCCCAGAAAAGGTTTTACAGCAGCGGCCCAATGCCAATGCCGTCCGGTCCATGGAGAAGGTCATTGAGATCCACAGTAAGTCGTCAGGGCCAGGCCTCCCGTCTGGACACACTCCAGTGGGGGAGGGTGCAGGGCCCCCTATTTCCTAGCCCTGCCCCTCAAAAGGCAGGTCCTGGGGACCAAGGAAGCTGGCACACAGAAGGTGACTCTTGCCAGCAGGTAACACCTGTCTCAGGTGAGCTGGTAACACCCCTGTTCTTGTTACAAAGCTCAGTTTGTCCTGGGTCCTTAGGATGACCCAAATCGTGGAGACTGTCCAACTAGGTGGGTGGAAACCAGGTCCCACCTGTGTGCCCTGCACGAGTGTTGGGTTCCTGGCCTCAGAGCTGTCCTCTGCCTCATGAGAAGCCCCTGGGCACCAGGAAGCACTGAGAGGCTAACTCTGGGCCATGCCCATCCCTTCCTGCCTGGTCCCCTCACCCAGGCCCCATAGGGACACCCTGTCATCTTGGAGAATCCATATGGGACCACCCCCCCCAGCACTGGGTGACAGGCCTGCTCCAGGGGTGAGGGGCCAGGGCCACGGAGAGCCTGCTGGGCCCCTGCCGTGGAGTCAGTAACCCAGGGCTTCCCTCGCCCAGGCCAGTACTGGCGCTCCCTGCAGCGCCTGCCGTGCACCGTGGCCTACTCCCTGGTCGAGGCCCAGAAGCGCGAGAATGAGGAAGCCGAGACTGTCACCGCCATGGCCTCGCTGTCCGTGGGCGTGAATCCCGCCGAGAAGAGGTGAGCCCCCCACGGCCCGGCCTGTGGCCCCGCATGCAGGGGATGCGTTCTGAGGGCGAGCGGAGGCTTCTCTGCACAGGCCCTCGAAGGGCACCGGGGCTGGGGGGCAGGCGTCCCCGTGCGACTCTAGAGCCCGCCAGTGTAGGAGACCCTGTGGACCAGGCGGGTGGTTCACCCTGAGCAGGTGACCCCGTGACACCTGGTCAGGAGCCTGGAGCTGGAGGTGGGCGGCCTGTG